GATATAAATTGTTAAATATATTGTGTTATGAATAAGAAATAAAATGATCCAATAAGATTATTTGTTTCTATTTGATAAAATACACGACTGTTTATTGAGTAGTATGTATAAATTCATTTTTTTGTGAAAGATGAATGAATCCCTCTTGCTCTAGTTCATATGTTAAAGAGTCTAGCTCTTGTATAATGATACGTTGAAATTTGCTACAGGATTGGGTGATTTGTATGAAATAAATTTGTCAGTGATCTTTTCAAATGAAAAAATTCTCAATTCTAAACAAGTCTATACTTGTTCTTCAACCTATCCATGAACCAGCTTTTTATAATCTGTGTTCTTTAATGTTCAAGAATGTATCACTCAATATAGGAAGAGATGCTGTTTAAAGAAATGAATGAAATCATAATTTTCTAGAAGAAATCTCGATATCAGCAAAACAATTGTACATACAGTAAATAATGGCAGTACTACAACATTTGATGCATTGATTGGTAAAGAAATCAGTTCATTGAGAGAATTTTTGCTATTGTGTTGATATAGTTTCTGATATTGTTCAAATCTACAAGAAGATAAATACAATGATTATTTTATTTGAATATCATCGTTTAACAGATTATATCTATATGATTCTTATGAATTTCGACAGAAATAATAGGAGCATAAGATGTAATATTTTGATTCAAATTTACTATATCAATGGCTCTTCTTATTTTCAAATTCAAGAATGGCCCAACCTGATCAGTGTTTACTGAGATTTTTGAAGCAAATATAACCGATGTAACGTTGTTTGCAACCATGAATGTTATATGAAAAGTGAATAGCAAATATTATCATGAGCACGACAATTGCAATAATGATAGAGATAAAAGAAAAACATTCGAGTACTTTCTCCTGAATAAACAGAAGGTCTTCCAGGAGACAAAGATGTATGGCAGATAAGACTCGTTATAATATACAATCAGCAAGATAAGGTATGCATTATTCACAGAAATGTCACAAGACTAGTAGATTAGAGTCATTCTGAAAACTCTAACTATTTACAAATGATGAATGATTAATGAATTATTTGAAGATATTCCATGCTCAATATGAGAATAGTGAAAATGAAGCTGACTATACAAGAATTCAGTGTACGTACAACTATACAGATAATTGTTAGATCGTATTTTGATCAAAATCCGCACCATAGAAATTTTGGATTATTTGATCAGCGAAACTAGAGATTTTTTGGTACATTTCTCGACTAAAAAATTGTTTTTACTCGGCATACAACTTTAACACTTGTCTAAAGTTGACTGCTCTTGGTTAAATGTTTTAATTAGGAGCCTTTTCAAATTTTCTGTCGTGTGTCATGTTGTAAATATATTAAAACACGGTAGTTCCATTGTTTCTATGTAATGTCAACCAATCGGCTGACTGGCGCACATATATATGTAATTAAAATTGACGACTTTAAGGCAGATAATATTCGTAAACACTCAGTTTCTACGATTTTTTAATTTGAAAGGAAATTTTGCTCGGTTAATGATTTCAATGAAACAGAATACATGTGTTTGATTCAAAAATTGACAGAATATGAAGACTCTTTCTGTTTTGTGCCACTCGATCTATAAAAACGAGAGTTTCTTTTGTTGAAATAGCGTGTTCTCAGTGTCACAGGACTTGAAAACAATTTTAATCCATTGAATGAACTTTGTACCTGTTCTCACTTTCACTATTGTTCGTGTTCCATTCAGGTTGAGGTCCTTCATTAGACGTTAAAATGATAATTAAGATACTTATTAATAATGTGAAACTTCGGGAGAAAAACGTCTCTACTATTATTTCCTTGTTGTCTTAAATATGATGAGATTTGAAACTTCAACAAACGATCATCACTCAAATAATGACAAATCTTGGAAGAAAAACTATTTTTTTTTGTTTTTCGACATCTCGATAGAAAACGTTCTTGAAATCTAAAAATAGAATTAATCAGCTTAAACATCGCGCAATACTTGATTATAAGTCTATTCCTCGAGTTTAATATCGGCCTTGATCGAATTGTGATTGATACATAGTTTTTCATAGACTCTATTGGATTTATTTATTATTGAGCCATCTTTTACAGAAAATCTATTCAAGAGTTTGAAAAAACAATTTTTATATGATTGAATACCTTTGAAATTTATTCAAATATCATATTCAGAATAGATTTATAGTGAAGGTATAAAATCAACGAGAACATACAATGCTAATCATAGCTCATAATGCAATTCTATTTTATTTTTATTTTAATAAACGCATATTTTGTTATTCGAGAATTTCGCAGTAGAAGTTCTTAGGAATCATTTTTGAATCTTTAAAATGCAAATTGTCGGTCACAGAAATCGTATTTTATTCAAATTGCGTTTTTTTTTGGGAAGATAGCTTTCAAAATAATTTTTACATATTAATACATTTGTAGCTTATTTCGAGAAAAGAATATGAAAATTCTAGAATAAATCTTAGCTTCTATCTACCAACAGTCAAAATATGATTAGTGTTGTTTTACAGTAAAAGACGTGAAACTCATCTATGAGCTTTGCCAATGTTAATAATTAAATTGCAGTTTGAGTTAGTTTCCAACTTATCCGCGTTCACCTTATATGTATGTATTATATCATATTCATCGATATTTGTTGATAAAAATGGTTTCTACCCTATAATATGTCTCTTATGTTTGTAAAATATATATCTTGGAGAAAAATATTATTTGAAAAACTTTTATTCATAGACAGTGCTACTGTCTAGTCTTATTCAAGACGCATATATACCCTTCAGAAATATTTAGTTCTAGACGCTATAAGGTTTACGTCATTTTTCTAATTAATAAATGTACTTTCATCTGGTGTATTTTCATTTTCTTACCAAATTTATCCAGATCGAATCTTCGAAGGCATACGAGTGACCCTCAAACATTTTTTCTATGATATTTAAAAAGAACGACAAGTGTGCTTAAGAAAACAAAGAAAAACATATCTCTTTTCAATTATTCTAGTAATTTGATATTTGGGATTATCGTGGTTTTGATGATGCTAGAGACACAAAGGCATGAAAAAAGGAATATTTTCTTCATTTATTAGTATTTAGTCTTAGGCTTATCCATAATTCATTGGAGTCATTCTAGGTTCGTATAAGAATCATCTGATTCGACTAATCCTTCATCATGATCACATGTTGAAATATAATACGATCTCATAAATAAGAATATATGGCTTTAATAAGTACAAAATATCCAATATTTTTCACTCGTCAATCCATGGGTACTATTCGATGATTCCAAGGGCACTCTGTTTATATTGTTACATGTTTCATGATTAATCCTACTGACGAATGTTCATAATAAGTTTTCAGAGGGTGAGAATGAACATCAACAGAAAAGAGTATAATTTTGATCTGTGAAAATTAATCTATATAAATGTCCTCCAGGAATTTAAATAGTTTTTTGCCTAATCTAAATGCTTTTCTTCTCTAATAACATTCCTGATCCTTGTTTTATTTGATAATAGTTCAAATACTATATAGTTATTTTGATTGAATACTAATGTGGTGATAATAAGAGAGCTGCTCAGCTATTGAATATCTCGATATTTGTAACTATTCATTTAATCAGAAACTTAAAGAACTAGTACAAAACAAATTTCATAAATAATTTCGGTCGATAAAGAAATAGATGCGAATCACTTCAAGTTACTTACGTATTACTCTACTAGACAAAGACAATATTTGATCTATACTCAACATTAAATAATAATTAGTGACTATAGCACAAGGATTAATAAAGATTAGTGGACTTATGCTGGATACTTACTGAGTGCAACTAGAAAGAAGTCGATCAGCTGAAACGTAGCTAATTTGTAAGTATAAAATTAGGCATTTATTAGCATGATAATTGAGTCAATTTTCGTTCAAATGATTGAATTGCATAACCGAATATAGTACTTCAAATTTCTAGAAGTCTAATGAATTCATGTGATAAATATTGAAAAAGTTAATAATACCGTCTAATGTTCCATACAATGAAAGCCGGTACGATATGTTCGAATTAAATTATAGAGAATTCTCAGTTTTGAATATTGTTATTAAATGCGGATCTTATTAAAGCCATTCTTAAAAATGAATTGGATATTCATTTTTCACACTTTTATGTTACGATACTTCAGAAGCAATGAAAATAATAAAATAGAAACCAAAAATATTTTCAAGAAATAGCAAAAATGATTTAAAAAACACATCGCTATCTATGGAATTCTATTATAACAATTTATCAGGGGTAGTTAAATATTTACTGTAGATTAAAAAAGTTAGTTTGAAAGCAATTGGATTAAATATAATCGATACCATAAGGTTTAACTTTTTTTAAAAGTAACAAACAATTTTTGTAATTTTAAAATATTGATTCATCAAAGAAATTCTTAAAAGTTTGAAATTAGATCAACATTAAGTGATTCTATTTGATATTGATGCAATCACAAAAGCTTGTTAGCGCAGCCCCGTTGGGGCTTAAATGTGGAACTCACATATATCCCTTAGGCTTACTCAAATAGTTCAAAACTGTTCATCTGAAAAATCTACCTTGATTTCCAAAACCTATAATTATGTCATTGCCTATTTGCTTATGTCTGTAATGGAATATTAATTGTTAGCCCGTATATTTAATAATGGCAGAGACTAGTTTCTAGGGTCTGTAATGGACAAGCATTGCTTTTTTCGTGCCGTCTGTAATTAAAAAAGGAAGAAATAGCAGCCTGATTAGTCAAGCTCCTAATTAACATAATTTTAAGCTCATTAATATCTGCAATGGGGAGGGGGAGACGCAAAGATCTCGCTTTTAAACTTACACTCACTATTTTCTTCGAAAATATATGTGAGTTCCACAAAATCTATACTTTATTGAGAAACATAACAAAATAAAGAAAACTCGAAGAGTGTTAATTATAAACAAAAAAAGCAAAAGAGAACAAAAGTAATTCGTTTCAAGCAAATTATAATCTTTTCTTTTTAATTTTTTTGTTTTTTGTCGTTGCTTGTGAATTCTGTTGAGGATTTTGATTAAGTAATTCCACAATTTTATGTAAAATTTTATCGTGTTGTTTGTTTAAAAGATTTTCAACAATATTTGTCTGTTGTACTAAATCCGATTGTTTAACCGTTAAACTTTGTGCTATGGTTTTTGTTTGATCTTGTTCATTATTTGATATTAATTGTTTTAATAAACGTATCTGTTCTTCACTTTCATAATTACATTGATCAAATTGATTTATTTGATCTTTAATATGTTTTAATTTCAATTCAAGGTCTTTAACTTTATTTGAATCTGAATTTGGATTTTGTTGTTCGAAATGGTTTTCATTCATTAAACGTTGTAAATTATATTTTGTTCTCACTTCTTCACATTCCGAATATTGTTGATCTAATGAATTTTGTAAAGTATCAATTTGTTTTCGTGCTTGTTCAAGTTCTGATTGTAGCTGACTAATAGTTGATGCTTCAAATGATACATAATTAATATCAAATATAGAATGTGGATGTTGTTCTTGCAATGAACGTAAATGCTGATTTTCAGATTCAAGAGTTTTGATTCTTTTGTTTAAAACTTGAACTTCATTTTCATGATTTTGCTTTAAACTTTCGATTATAGTGTAATATTTTTGAAGTAAATCTGAGAGATTAGAAAATTTACTAGATGTATATGTAGAAGATGATGATGAAGAGATACGATTCGTTGCTGTTGCCATGAAAAGAAATTTCGATCTAAAATAAATAAATAAATGAAGTCATTTTTGTTTTTAAGTGTCGATTACAAAAATCATCATCACTATATGAATCTTAGAAAAAGTTTAAACAAATTTCAAGAATAAAATTTACTGCTATATACTCTATTGTATCAAAAATTTGCCTAATATCAGAACGTAAGATATCTATCATGGTTTAATTGTTATAATAGATATAGAAAAATTGTTTTTGATCAGTATTCAAACAGATGTAAAATTATAATGTAGTTTTAATTCCCGTGAAAGCATTTTCAGATATCAAGAAAAGACCGACACAGCTTTTGCACACTTGCAAAATGAATTTTGTTACTAGAATTTTTGGATTGTAATCAATGTTTTTTAACCTCTTAACTTAATTTTTATCCCATAAAAAATGAGTAGTTTTATAAATTGCATGGAACAAAATGTTTCTATTCTTATAAGTGAAAATTGAAGCAGCAACTCAAACTCGGAAAAATGAATTTCAAAATTTACTACTAAATCGTAAAAAACGTTGTCCATCTCCAATTTGAGAGAATACCAAAATCGACCCATAAAAATGTCATAATCATCTAACAATCAAGTTTTCTTTGCACATAGACAATAAGAATATGTGTATCACACTACATTCATATCATCAAAAAATCACTAACTATAAAGACAGAACAGACAGAACTTTAACTATCGATGTTGATTAGTCATGAATTTACACGAGCTTCAAAAACATAATGATGGATTACCCCCTTAAACAAGATTTGATCTGTGAATATTTCATAAATAAAACTCATTATATTCCTACATGATGTGCTTTTATTTCATTCCATCACATACATATGACGGTCACACAGAAATAACAACAAAAAAAAACAACAAAAACAAAGAAAAACAAAGAACTTTTTTTTCAAAAAACAAAATGTTCCCAATCCTTCTTTTGCATTTTTTCTTATTAATTCTTATTTTTTTGTACGTTTAAGTAAACAATTTTTCAATATTTTGTTTCAGTGTTTGAATTTGGGCTTTTAATTGTGATCCTTCATTGATCGTTATGCTTGCACTAATAACTGGTCGTGTAACACCACAAGCACGACCTAATGCTTGTTTACTACGTACAAATACATATGGAACGTTTTTATCTTCGCATAATAATGGCAAATGCATTAAAATTTCAATGGGTGTTGTATCAGCGGCCATAACTAAATAAAAATAATTTTTTTCTTAACAATCATCCTGATTTGTTTTTGTCAACATACTTATCAATTCTGATTTACCACGGTTGAGTGTTTTAGTTGCTTCATTAGCACCTTTACGCAATTGTCGCTACGAAGATAAATTTTATTAAGATATTTATAAAAAGATTAAAATACAAACATACATAATTCTGTGCTTGATGGACAAGATCAAGAATATCCTTGGTAAGTTTAGCGTCAGCTAATGGATAAGCTTTTGGATTAACGTCACCTTCAGCGGACATGTTATTTCTTAGTATTTGAATTAGAAATAATCTAAAAATTCAAATAAATTATTTTATCGATATTTGAAATGTTCAAGAGAAAAATAATTTTTTTTTCAAGAAAAAAAAATTAAAATTAAATTATATCTATTAATGCACAAGTTTAGGAAGTACAAATAGATGATGAAAATCTTCTAAATCATATGTATGTCTCATTGTTAAATCAGTCAATCGTAAGCCACCAATACGCTAAAAAGAAAAAGTTTAATTTCAAACTTGTAAATTTTCTTTTGTTTTTACTTTCATTCCACATGTTAATGGTACAAGTTGTAATTCAATATCGTATGTGTGATGTGCTTCTAATTTTCCTAATTGTTTACTAATAACACCAATCCATATATATTGTTCACGTTTAGCAAATGAATTATCAAAACTCAAAGATAAGTCCATTGTTCGTTGTGTACAATTTAATATTCGTACAGAAAATGTTTGTGCTTCTTCAGCAAAACATTTACCTTGACCACGAATTAAAAATAAACGCAAATCAGGTAAATATCCAAGATTTGTTGTCACTATTGGTGGAGTCTATCAGTATTAAAATATAATTTCAAGTTTCATATTCATAAAGAACACTGCGTATGTTTACTGGTTTTGGCAATTGATTTGTTTGTAAACGTCCACGTTCACCCAAGCCAGACATCCAAACGATATCAAGTTTGCCCAATGTCGGCGTTGAATGAAGCTGTTCAAAAGTGATATCGGTTCTTGGTTTCAAATAGAACATATATGCTGTGATTTCATTCGAACGAATAAAACGCCATGCTTCACAGAGAGAACTAAGCAAAATAAAGAAGAAGACAATCAATTTAGTAATACTACAGCTAAAATGAGAAAGTTGACTTAGCGTTAGCTGTTAAAGATATACAATTTGTCTTATTCAATCTATTTATAACATCATTCTTCTTCTTCCTCATTTTACTTAATCTTACAAACTCAAATAAATAAACAACACGATATCATTGATATTGGATCATTGATCGAACATCAACAAAATCTATTTACTAGTCAAGAGAGTGTTCACAATGCTGGTGTTTAAATTTCTTTTAGATTATGTTTTTTGAAATAAAAAGAACATTTTGCAAAAGCATACCTTTCAGAATGATCAGAATTTTCATGATGAAGATAACTTAAATTTTTTACAGTATACGTATTTGATGGTTCCAATTCAACAGTTCTATTAAAATTTGAGATTAGTGAAACAAGTTTTTTATAAAAATAAATAAAAAACGAACATCATATTCAAAATTGATGGAGTCTGATTTTGAATATCAGCAACAACATAATATTCATCATGCTATTAAATTAAAAAACATATTATAGGAAACGTTATTCAGCAGTAGTTTTTACCTTGGCACCAGGAATAAAACGCGTTTTTAAATCAATGGGTTTGCCAACCTTAAATTAGATTCTAAGAATATTGTTAAATTTGGTTTTTGTTACTTACTGGTAATTTGAAAACTTTTTTTAAATTGCATTTTTCACCATTTTGATCGGTACACGTTACAGTGCATACCAGACTTAAAACATAAATAAATATTAATATAGTAGATAGAATTTTGAATAACTAGTACAGTGAATGTAGCACACCGCCATTTCAAATAGGGTTCGCGAAAATAGGTTGCCTTGAAATGAGATGCAGTGCGAAAACCGATGAAGAGACGATTGTTTACCTCTTCAAATTTATATTTATTGTAACAAATAGTTATGCGCCATACTTTCAGAAATAGATATTAACTTTAACAATGTTCTAAAACTTCTGCACTCAAACGTGAAATCATCATAGAAGTTTTTTGGATTGAATAGCAAATTGACATAGATAAAATTGACTGACTAAAAAATTTAATTAGTATATGAAACGTTGTGCTGTAACAAAAACGGTTGGCTTTGGTTCTCGAATGCTGAAGCCACATATTTTAACTCCACATAAATGAATCTACCGGTATTTTGATAACGAAAGATGTCATTGATACGAAAATTTTCAAGGATTTTCATGTTTTCTCTTTTGTAACATTTTCTTTCTCAAAGATTATCCCAATTAAACAATGCTTCATCGCAATCAATTCTATGTCAATTTTGATTCTTACGAATGATTGCCAAGTTCTTTCACTTCATGTTGTAAAACTCTACATATACTTTGATCAGGTACTAATTCCATTTTATTCGAATCATTCTGATCGTTTGAATTAAGTACGATGCGTTGTGTTGCAGTTTGAATATCTGTCTGAAAAAAAGTTGAAAAATTTTTACATATAAATACAATTTATAGTGTTATCAAATGTACTTTAAGTATGACATCTCGAAGTACTTGATCACTCTGATTGTGTAACGAAACAATTGCAGAAAATATTTCACCCAAAAATACATTTCTAAAACAAATATATGTAAAAAAAAAGAAGGAAATATAAAAACTAACCCAAAACTATAGGGAAGTACCAGTAGATGGCTTAGAACTGAATGATCATTTCCAATGGCTATATCATGTGATTGGCCAGCAAGAAATGCAGCTGCCGATGATGAGGATTCTTCTTCCGCATAGACCGGTATATTTTGATATAGCGTCGGTTTTGAAAGACGCATTACTACAAACAAAAACAACAACAGCTATTTCGTATGATATGGAATGAACTGAATGACGAAGTAGTAGGAATTGTATCACGCTCCGGGGGGGGGGGGGGGGGGGGGGGGGGGGGGGGGGGGGGGGGGGGGGGGGGGTACCCCCCCCCCCCCCCCCCCCCCCTCTCCACATTCATGTGTGATCACAGATCATATATGAACTATGTTCTTATTGGTTTTTTGAAAAGTGAAGTGACCGATTAGCGGTAAAAATACATCACAAGTTACAACCAAAACAAGGGGCTCCATATACTTAGCAGCAGCAGTAGTTATTTGATTACTTTTCATTTTGGAATCACCATAACAGATGCTAATTGTGTTTTCCCCCAAAAATAACAAAACTAACCTCGAACAGCAAGTGGTTCCGCATTTTTCGTCGTATCAACTTGTGCAGTCACAGTTGCTGTCGGTTGATGTGGAGGTATTGAATTTGTTATCGATACTGACATGATGATTTACATATCTAGAAATAACTTTAACGATAACAATTTTTTTCGCAAATTTTTTGTAATTATGAAAACAAGAAAAAAGACGATCACATAAAGATAACAAATGATCACGTGTTAACAATTTCTTCTGATTTTTCACCTTTATTATTATTATTATTATTATTATTACTGGTTGATTGAATTTCGATAATACTAACTTGTTTGTCTTTCTTAATACATTGCAATGTTGTTATTTTTGTTTGATCATCATCACTTTCATCGGAAATTTCTTCTGAATCCATTGATGTATCAACGTTAGGACAAAACATTAAATTCATTTCGATTGCTGTTTCATTGTCATCATTATCTTGATCCGAGTCCAATTCGATACGAACATTTTCCCCAGATCTAATTTTGGAAAATAACGTTCGATTGGCATTGGTTAATATTGGAAGAAAATTTTTACAACGTGAAATTAGATCACTAGTATCCACCCGAATTGTTGAGCGTTCCGTTGTTTTATTTGATAAACAATTGCCATTCTTAATTTCTTCATTGTGATAAACATGCTTGGCAACATTTCTTTTAAGTACTGAAAAAAAATCATTCGAACTATCGGATTCATCTTCATCTTGTAAATCATCGAAATTCCATGATGATTTCTTTTCTTCTGACGACGACGATGATGATGTTTCAGAAGATGGAACTAATGGAAAAGAATCATCAGTCATCTGAAGAAAAATAAACAGTAATTATTAATTTCCAAACAACAACTAAAACTTACGAAAATTTATGAACAAAGAAACTATATACATTAGAAATTTAATGGTTTAATATAGCCAGCCAATGAAATCATAGTGAACTATACAAAATGCATTAATGCCTTAGTACGAATGCAATACTCATTTTCCTCTTTAGCCGTTGCTTGGCAACGATTAAAATTTTAAAATTGAATGAGTCTCATACAGACTTTTTTCTTAGATTACGCGCGAAGGTCTTTAGCGTCTTCATAAAAAGCAAAGATGACTGATTTAATAAATACATCAACTCATTCTCATCATTATCCACCAAATCCAAATGAAATTGCTGGGAATAGAAGACCTGCACGTCCAACAAGTGCTCAGCAACGATCAACAACACCAACTCGTAATAGGCCACAACATAATACGACTGTAAATGGTTTAAATACAACAGCAAAATTAGAACAATCTTTGTTGAGACATGACTTAGATCGTACGACGACATCGATAAATTCAACAAAATTAAATGGAAAAGGAAAGAATCGTTTATATTCAACATGGACACCGTTACAAGATGAAGAAACAAATGCTCGAGTAAGATATACAACAATAAAAAACAATCTATAGAATTTTCTGTCAGTTAATTGAATGTTAATTATCAAATTTTAGTAGATTTGAATGTGACAAGTCGAAACATAAATGAGTTAAATTTTCACTCTAACCCATATTTTATTACATGCCTAGATAGGGAAGTTTTTGTAAAGAGATTATAAATAGTATACATCTATAAACGACATTCAATGAAAGAAAAAAGCTTAGAAATAGGTGGATTATGCTGTATATTTATTGCTTTTCTTTTACTAAGTTTTACAATTTTGTTACATTATATATTAGCTTTGAGCAGTATTTCGAGAGGAAGAAATTCTATAACCTACTGTGCGCATGAACCATTTTGAAGCAAAAATAGAATGAGTGAAAAGTTTTAATCATATGATTTTTACCTATATGTATCTTTTATGAATACTGTCGTAGAATTTTGTAAGTGAAATGTTTGATCTTTTCACTTTTTTTTCTATTTTAACCTATTCACGAGAATGTATTGTCATATAGAAACAACGCTTTCATCGTTAATACCTGATCATTCTTATTTTTTCTGGTCGAATGAATCTTATGACATTTATATTCACAAATAACCATAATCTGATATTCTGAGCCAAAAATATCTTTCTATCAAATGTGTTCACTCTATGAGGAGCAATACTTTTTATTTAGTCAAACTGAACAGTACGTATAAATTCCACACATTTAGCTATGAAGAAAAGTTTTCTCATAAAAATAATCGAATTATGCTACTTCACCGACGTCCATAACTAAGCTAAATAAAATATTTGATATTCTTTTGTTTTTTGGAAAACTGATTTCAAATTCGTGGTGAAATTCTAAAATATTTATAATTACATTTTAGTTATTCGACGAACGAAAACAACTTGTGAATAAATGGGTAATTATAATTTAATTCTATTTGTATCTCATGCAGCACTTGTATTCTTCTTTTTTTGAAGTTTGAAAAATGGACTGATGATCAACGTCGTATTATTCTTGACGATATACTAGCTCAATGCCGTAATCGCCAATTGACATACGCACGAAATATATTAACAAAACGATTTCCAGCGCAACATCAGGATTTTACTCGTTTATTTCCACGTGTACTTTGTCTTTATATATTTTCATTTCTTGATCCACGTAGTCTTTGTCGCTGTGCACAAGTAACTTTTGTTTTTCAATGCTCAAAAGTAGTTTTTCCTATTGAACTTTCTTTTCTATTAAAAGACATCATGGTATTGGAAATTTCTAACGGAATCCGATCAAATCTGGATGCCAAAATGTCTTCGTTTTGGTTGGACACCAAAACAAAGTTCATCACCCTATGAAAGCAACGTTTGGAAACGTGTTTATTCATTTAATATTCAAGCATTGCAAACAATGCCTGTTCGGGTACGAAATAGTTTCTTTTTTTACACAGTTTATATTAATATAAAATAAACAGATGAATGTGTTAGTGCCAATATCGAATTTTAATATCGATTTTTTTAAACCGATATCATCTGATGAGAATGTATTGATGATTAACACATATGCGCAAACGATATGTACAGGAAATTATGTTCAACAACAATATGTAATAAAACACAGAAGCTATTCATTTTATTTTACTGGCTTATTTTGCTTATATTTGAAAATTTTTGGTTGGTTTTTATAGAATAGCGATATTTATTTGTTGTATATGACTAAAAAAAAAGAAACTCAAGCCTTTTTTTCTTTCAGTTAAATGTATTCATTCTCATAGTTTGCTCATAGCAATAGTCTTGCATAACAGCCTGTAATTGCGTCTGTATGTTGTCACTGACTAACAAGCAGATTTTTCTATTCTCACAATGGAGCATGTCGTATTGCAACTAAATAAAGAGATATCGTCATCTATTTAAAAAAAGCAGACACCGATGATTAGAAGAGAAAAAAAAATGTCGCTGCTGTACAACGGGATCATTTTTTTTCTAGTAGAAATGTATGAAATTAAATTCCAATATGCATATATTATGAGGTCGAGTTGTTTTTGAGTTTTCAGAAATATTGAAGGATTATTTAATCATTAGAGAAATTTTTAGCATGTTCTTATTATGATAGAGATAGAAAGATGCCTAATTTAAGTTACATATGAATTAAGTATACTATCTCGTCAAACAAAATAATCTAAACTACCTTAGCGTTTGAATGATTCCGATATAAATAGATATCGACGTATCAGTTATTGAACTGCAATAAAAACATTTATTTTGACCACATTTCGATTTGTAAGCTATCTAATTTTTAGGAAAAAGAATTTGTTAGCATCATTTGTGTAGATAACTGATTGAGCCGTCAGAACTGTTTTTTAAGCGTAGTCGTCTATTCGTTTTCTTTAGTTCTAATGGAAATGGAAATACGAGATGAGTGTAATCGACATATTGTTCTCCTTTCAATCAGAAAACGTCGCAGTCATCAGCAGGGACTCTCTAAAAATTTCAATTCGATCATACGTTGTATCTTTAAGAAGTACAAGAGTTTTTTAAATTAAATGTAAGCTCCTTATAATATAGAAGATAACATTGGAAAACAACGAATATCACTTAAATTTTTCTTTTTTCTTTGGAGCTCCGAAAAGGAGTGGATATCATCAAAGTTAGATTTTTATTTAAAATAAAAAAATGAATGTTGAAATTTGTTCACTAATAGGACTATTCTCTTCGTTCACAAAGTGGTTACTATGATGATCAATTGTCTACTCATGAAGATACTGCTCGTTCAAATTCAGCTCGTCATCAACTTAATAAATCTCATTCATCAACTCATCGTGCTTTAGAACATCCACCATGGCGCGCTAATAGGTTAAAAAGGATTATTTATTGAAAAAACTAAAAATAAATAAGTGTTCTAATTTTTAGTCGAGCACCAACTGATACACTGCGTTATAATTATCTAGATAACGATGATAGCGCACTTGAATCATTGATTGCTAAACATCGTAAATATGGAACTAGTATTCTTCAACAAACTGAGTCTGATCATGAATTGAAAAGTGCAACTAAAGAAAGACAAACACGCAGTCGAACTAATGAAAGATATGAACAAAATGGAAGAAAAAGACGAAGTCAATCTTTGGTAGGATTTATAATCAGATTCATTGAAATTACTTGGATAATTTTTTTTGAAATAAAAGAGTGCTCGTGGTAGCCCATCAGTGACTTTTCGTGATGAACATACATCAAGAAATTCTAATCATAATCATTCATTTTTGGCTCGACCTCCATCAACGTCAGGTATTGCTAATCGACCTGTAGATATTCCCCGACCACCGTCATCGGCTCAGAAATCAAAATATGCATCAAAAACATCAGCTAATGGTAAGACAATGAATGAATTATTTTTCTTCTTCATTTTATTAAATTGATTTCTTTTTCAGATATATCAAATCGAACATGGCATTCAACAAATAATTATAATTATGCTGATGAATAATAATTTTGTTTTGTAATCAATTTATATATTTTCATTTGGCAATATCATTTGTGAACAAACAAACAGAACATATGTGTATTTCTCATTGTTGCCATTTGTTTCTTTTCATTTTTTTTTAAGGAAAAAACAAAATCTTTTCAGAATTTTTTTATTGTTGTTTGTTAATCTGTGTAGTAGACGTTTTCTCTTTGTTCATGTATTTCAAATATGTTCATCTATCGTGGGGATAAATAGTTGTGTTTATTTGGATCAATGATTCATTTAATCCAGATATTAGAACACCTACACACACACGCACACGCGCATAGTGTTTTGAGGTACAATATCTTTAAATAATAATCTTTGTCTTTGTAGTTTGTTTTTTGACTCTTGAAATATTTCATTGAATTGTATGACTTGATAATTTGATTCTATTATTAAATGAATAATGAACAAGAACGGATGACATATAATAAGATATTATGTATGAATCAATCATTCAGTAATAACCAGTAAGAATGAATCACTTGAAAATAAGTTTTTGCCATATATCATAGTACTAACTTTTTTCAGCAGATTCGGAAAACTGTCGTAATGATGCTCTCTCGGTAGTAGTCGACCAGTAACAACTACACATGATTCCAGTACTCAAGAATACATTCATCGTTGTTATCTTATTGTAATTAAAGAAATATAAAGCAAGATTCGTGAAGAATATTTAATTTCACTAAATACTTTCAAACAATTGTTCGATAATTGGATCTTGAGGGTGCGAGTTGTACTGAGTACAAATAGATTGAGTTCTTTTTCATTATTTATTTCTTACTGGTTTATCTTGAATACACAATGAAAATTTTCGTGAATATTATCTTTTTGATCATACTTTCAAATCTTTATCAACATATGTTATAAATAATTATGTGTGCCAAAAACAATGGATTTTACCATTTTTTTAAAATAAATAACACAGAAAGTATTTCTACCCAATTTTTTCATAGTTTAGAAATTATGATTTGACATATTTTGATTATTCTTTAGTGGTTTTGACTAGCGATGATTGAAATTTATATTGCTACCATTTGCCATTTAGGGGTTGCTTTTGACATAAATTAATCGTTGCTTATTTAAGAATTCTAACTATTTGATAATGTAAATAATCCGATAGATAAAGCATCATATTATTATAATTATTACTGAGAGAGAAAGCAATTTAAGCGGATAACAAACAGAATGTGTCTTACATACAGTCCAAGCTACAGTCTTCATTAATATTATTAATAATATTTTGAAAAAAAAAGCAAATAATTAATAGATTTATTTAGTTGCAAAGATTTCTAAGCACGATAGTACAATTTTTTTTATAAAAGAAAACCAATTGGGGTTTTTCTTGAATAATAGAATCTTGTTGCTGTTAATATTAAATCTTTACGAACAAACGACATTTGTTGGAGTAATTACGACATTTGCTTGACCATTTAGAGTGGATATTGAACAGTTAACAGTAACAGAATGAAGTACAGAATGAAAAATAACAACTGGTACGATTTCAGACGCTACACCTTGCACAGTAATAGTCGCTTGAGTTTTTTCTTTATTTGTTGTTATAGATGTAAATCGTTGTTGACTAACAGCTGTCCATTTACCCCATTCACCAAGAAGAGCGTATTTCGTTCGCATAGGACCATTAAACTGCCATAACGGTGATACATACCAAAGACATATAGATAAATCATCACATTTATTAGCTAAAACATCAAGAGGGTGAGTATCATCAAATGTTGATGTCGTTTGTGCATTATCATATGACCAGATTATTCCTCCTTCACTACCAATCATAGAAGGATATATTGTATAGTCACGTTTCATAGCTGATGCAAAAATAATATGAAATGTTCGATCAATTCTACAAAGAATACTCAATAAAAATCAAAAACAAATCAATACACTTACATCATTGTTTGTGTTGAATAGAGTTCTCCTTGTACAACGCCATTATTAGAAGCCCAATCAGCAATTAATGTATTAATTGTTGTAATTGGTCGATCAGGTTTTAAAATTAAACCATCTTGACGGCAACATTTCATAATGCTTTCTATATTTACATAATCTATTCCATCACCTGGACCAACAGGCCCAGTTGAAAGAGTGGCAATAAGTATTTCACGATCGGGAAGTATTTCCTTGGACGATGACCCATAAGGAGAACCAGGTTGTACGGATGTAGACCAAAGAACATCTTTAAATGGTGCTAAACCAACAGCGTCAGCAAGCATACTTGATATTCCAATATTCCATTGCGATTTTTTCTGATTTTCTAAATGAGTAGCATAATCATCTGATGCTCTTGCATGTGTAACGCGCGGAATTTGAAGAGCTTGCAATATATGTCGAGGTAAACTCATACAATATTGAATATTTATTCCGAATTGTTCAGCTGCTGCACCCATAGACATTAGCCATTGTTCTCCAAGATTAATATCAGTACGTGTTGGAAGAAAATCAATTGTTTGAACATTAAGCCAATCTTGTTCATATAAAACTAGACCCCAATTACTTGCACCAGTAAATAAATCAATCCAAAATGAATCATTACCAAAAGGCAGTGCTTTTCCATTAGCAGCATCAAGTACAAAAGCATACTTTTGTTTATAAACTGTATCGTACGCCCAAAATCGATTGTGTGCGGCCAATGGAATATTTTCTAATCGACGATGCAGTGCTATTAGACCATCAGGAAATATATCTGAACGAGAGGTCCATTCAGTAACACCATTTCCAATACCTTTAAAATACCACCATGAATCAAGTTGAATATAATGAAATGGAAGTTTAATTTTATGTGTTACATCAACTATTGTTTCTTCATAGTTCATGTCTGGTTCTGTATTATAATAATAATAACCTCCATTATCAGTATAATAACCAAGATAATTTATTGTAAGATCATTAACACGATTTACATCTGTTCTATTAAATGCTTGTTGCATTGTTTGACCCCATTCATGTATACCTTCATTGATTCCACTTTGTGAATAAAAAACAATCATTGTATGCGTATAATTAGCGGGTACTGATGACATTGAACCTAGGACACCATATTCTAGTGCACTAGTGAGCATTTTATTTCTTTGGTTCAATGAAGTAGCCATAAAATGAGAAAATGGCGATAGAACTAGTAGATCTTCTTCTCCTTGTTGAGTTAAGTTAAAAAGAACTACTGGACCACCTTGCATACCTGATGTAATAACTTTACTTGATGCATTCCAAAGACCTGCATGTTTATCACCTTCACCTGTCATGGCTCCTTAATAAAATTAACATACAACAATAATAAACATATATTAATGAAAAGTAAATTTCAATCGTACCAGAAAAAGTAAAATATCCTCTTTGATCATCCATGCTCATTTTTTCAATATAAAATGATGGAAATACAGTCCGAACTTGTTCCATATCAAGTGGAAGTCTATCTGTTAAGGCTCTATCACCTGTCTCCAAATGAAAAGTAAAAGCTGAAACAATATTCCATTGACGTATACGAGCAACAACAGGTGTTGATGATTGATTTCGAGTAAGATTATATGTCAATATTGTTTCATTCCAACTACCTAAATTTGGATCATCACCCTGCGCAGTACTTATATTGGTCAAAGGAAGAGAATTATCTTCGGTTGAATACCATTGATTATCCACGTATATAGCTGTACGTGCTGACCGAAGCCATATTTGATTATCAACAGTTATATTGTATCCTCCGTTTTGATCTATTAATACTTTTACATCACACCAACATCCCACTATGAGAAAGAGAAACAACACTAGACGCATCTTTAACAAATAATTTGACCAAGGTATAAGATAATGGTAGTTTATATGCGGTTGTCTCAGTAATGATGATGATAACAGAACTTCATATCATTGGTAGAAATGTAATGTAGAAGAATATTTGTGCATTTTCATTTACGTATATCTGAATATATCGCTGAGATTGAGATAACAGATTCGACTGAATATGTTCTTTTAAAAAAGAATTTTATAGCGATATAAATATGGCGGATCATTGTCTTGAGAATTTTCTTTGAGATTTTACAAATCGAAAATAGAAATTGATATAATGTGTCACTCTATGAGATACTTTATTTGAATAAATGATAATCAAACGAAATTTCATCATAGTAAAAATAACAACGATCGAAAAAGCGATCGAGTTTATTCCATTTGTGAAAGTTCGTTACGGTTGATGTTGAATATATGCATTTTGTTTTTTTGAATAAAACAGAATTGACGAATTAGCTATAATTTAGAACAACTGTCATCATAATAACTCGATCATCTATCAAATCTTTGGATTCTGTTGTTAAATCAAAAGTAATCAAGCTAACTCCAATTCGCATTAAAGTTGTTAATTAGAAAGCTGTTTAAGTGCTCGAAAAACGAGTCAGTTTAAGTAAATTGAAAAATAATCACAATAGTATTATCTAATCACTTTGCATGTTTCAGTCAAACATTAGAGTATGATATAATTATACAACAAAATAGTCGAACAAACGTTCGCTCTGATTCATCTCTAGAACAAGAAAGTTACAAACAACGAGAGTGTCTCACTAATAAAATCATTCGATTTAGTTTGATGTACGTTCCTACAATGACGATTTGGACTATTTTCATCTTAGCCTACCCGTTCAGTTCTAAATATTAAACATCGATTTGCAACATACTGAAGCAAATGTTTGGTAGCTGTAGTAGATTCGATTGACAGTCAAGTTTAATCTTTCAACAAACAAACTGGAAAAAGTTCAAAAAGACTTGGTTATAGAGGACGTTTCTGCCAAGATGCCTAAGAAGATACAAGAAATTCACAGATCATCTGTCGCTAATTGAAACGACTATCAGCTGGCGTGCCACCGTTCCATAATGCGGCATGAAAGAGGTGCGACTCCTGTAAGAGTTTCCAGAAACATTTTGCTTTCCATAAAACAAAAGACAATCATATATGTTTTCACATCCCCAAAATCTAAAGATGGCATCGCAACAGCAACAACAATATAAGTCTCGATTAAACAAGTTCAATGTTTTAAGCGCATCTATGGTATTCCCTTTATCTGATAGTGGATTTGTTTTATCATTGCAGACTTTGCTGCACTGTTTGCTGATTGTTTATACTGTGCAATATTTTTCGCATTTGTTTTTGTAAACACTTGTACCAACAGAATCTAGATGATTTTAGCGACGGAAAAATTAGACAAATATCCCTAAATTCAAATTTTCCTATTTTATTGGTATGAATTTGAAATTTCGATGCACATTGTGTAGAACTATTTGAAATTAATTACAAAATCAGACTAAGGTAAACAGTCAGAAATCTCAAAAGATATTAAAACTTCTTTGAACATAGATGAGATGCGACCTAATAGATTTTATTTCATCACAACAAATCAATTACATTTATTATTCATTTCCAAAAATATAATCTATAAATCGTTAAGCAAGAATAGAATTATTTATTCTGTATTTGATTTTTATTCCATGGAGAAAGCAGTTACACTAAGTTTTCTCTTCTAGTTTCTTATTGCGAGTAAGAGAATTCTTGATAATATCAACTACATTAGAATATTGAAGTCATTTCAATTTAATACGAATTGTGATGTAACAAAGAAACTTACTTTCTTTGGCGTCATCAAAGTCAATATTGACGCTACTAGCTATGTTTTTTCTTTCTGCTTTTCATCACTCTAAAGCACTTTAGTATATGAAGTTCTTTCTGTAAATACAACCCGTAATATACGATTCTTATCTTTACGAGCAAAGTGTCTATTTACATTCAAGTCGAATTTTTCTTTCATTGAAATAAAATAAACTGTACGTAATGGCATACATCGGATCATTGTCTTTACTCTTTTCGGTCTTGCTTGCGATTGACATCTACAGTGAGACTACTCAAAATGATGTCATTAGGTGGGCTGCTAAACCTTTTTTAATGCCCGTACTGATAGTTTTATTCCTATTGAATGCACACAATAATTTATCTCTTGAACGACGATATTTAGTGATAGCATTTCTCTTTTCTTGGTTCGGCGATCTATTATTAATGCAAAATCGAAATGATCTATTCCTCTTTGGTTTGGTTTCGTTTTTACTTGCTCATATTAGTTATATTATTGCATTTATGGTTCGAATTCAATATGGTGAACCTGAATTAAGACGCCAATTAACTGTGTCTAATATGATAATCAAATCAATTCCGTTTTTAGCCTATATTGCCCTCATGCTTTGCATACTTTCTCCAAAATTGAATACAAACACGGAAGAAACGAAAGGTTTGCTCGTACCTGTAGTTCTTTATACTTTTGTGGTCGTTGGCATGACTTACACATCTTATTTACGTGATAGAAAAGCTCCAGGTTTTTGGACTGTCTTCGCTGGAGCCGTATTTTTCGTTTTATCAGATTCGCTCATAGCTCTCAATAGATTTGTTATGCCTTTGCCTACACCTGGTCTATTCGTTATGTTCACATATGGTTTAGGTCAATACTTAATTGCGGTCGGTTCTTTACAAGTAGCTGATAAAAATGTAAAAATATCCTGAGCTATCTATTGTTTACTATTGCTTTTTCTCTAACGAATAAATTAATGACTGTCAGTACATTTTCAGTGCTTTTTCAGACTTTTTTTTTTGAATTGTGATATGTCGTCTTAATTATAAATTATTTATTTAGATTATAATAGCATTAATATTTGTTTGTACATACATGTACTCTCATCGTACTTCAAAAAAATTGAAGTATAGAAATGCCCTACGCCCCCGGCACTTTTGTAGTTGGCCTCTCGCGCTCATTCTATCTCTAGTTTCCAACGGGAAATAGATTGTTGATGGAAGAAGAAATAGAGAAATATTTTGTTATTAATTTCTATATAAAAATCAATCTGAAATATGGCAAATATTAGAGTCAATCGATTTTGATTAGTACTAATTAGGTATAAATTTTCACTTGAAAAAATAAAATATAACACAAGTTGAAGATTAAACGAATTGTCGAGGTTAAAATGCTGTCACTTTGTTTCAGTTCATAAGAAATATTACTAAGAATATATTAAAAAGAAAGATTTTAGTCGAACTATGATCAACGAGACTATGTGCACTGGACTTTTCATCATCATTTATGATCTTCTCAAGAGATTGATCAATATTAAAATAATCTCCATTATCCAAACTTTTATCAATTGGTTGTTTTAAAAATTCTCTTGGATAATCTTTGTTCAATGCATTAATATATACTTCGAAGACATTCAAATTTAGATAAGCACTTGTTGGCAAATGATCAATAGACGTGTTATACGTAGCAAGTTGGTTATGATAAGTAACAATAGAATTCCAATCGAATGCGCCACCACCAGCGTAACTTGAACTTTCAAATAGATCACTATCATAATTAAAATATCCTCCGCCAATACCATAAATGTTTTTTAAATTTGAAGCATATCTTAATTTTGATACAAATAAACTGCAAGCACTACCACAACTGCCATCGGTTAACACATAAATTGATTTAAAATATTTTGTATTACTTTCATTTCTCATCCAATATTTTCCCATGCCGAATACCTGTCCATCGCAATTAATAGACCATTTCATTGAGTATGAATCTGTTGTATTACCTCGTGTGTAGTTAACACGAGGCTCCATCCATTCCATATTTGTAAATGATGACATATTTCGAAGATCTAATATCGAATCGGGAGAAAAACTGAAAATAGTTGCAAATGTTTGCAATTGTTTTGTTGTTCGACCATCGAATGGTTCGTATAGGACACGATGCGAGAAATATTCAGGGACTAAAAAATGTAATGCAGCATAAGCTAAACAACTACTACCACCACGATTTCCTATTACATCAAGTATTAGTGTAGTTCCACTAGCTGCTAAAAATACACGTTTCACATCTTCACTGACTTGGTCATCAAATGATCCTAATCTGATAATTGCAGTATTTGTACTTTCATGAACATAATAATATGTATCATTGTTACCCGTAATAAAACGAAATTTATCATTTGTTTTCTGTTCATACCAACTTAATTTTTCTAAACGAGTTATATAACTAAACGCATTTCTAGTTGTATATGTTACTGATGGAGAATAGCGATTATCATTTTCTATGCTACTTTGTTGATCAAATTTTTTTGTAATGACTACAGCATAGCGAAATGTTACCGTTTCAGTTTTATCTAAAAATGTGAATGTAATATTGCTTTTTAATGGTAATGGATATTGTGCAAGATTTTGTAACCAAAATTCTTCTCGAAAAACAGAATTTAATCTTACACTTGGATCTTTACTCATAATTGAATATTTTTCAGCAAAATTCATCATGTAATCGAAAGCATTTATACCATCGATCGTTGTTACAATTTGATTTGTATAATTCATATTTGAATTACTTCTCATAATAGATGAATATAAATTGATTCCAAATTGAACTTTTATTTGTTTTGTTAATGGTAAAAATTCGAGAATAAATGGAAGTAACACATGAAACTGTGCATAACCGTTGGGTACTGAGTATGTTGTATGAAAATCTTTTAATTTTTTAAAACATAATGTCACAGCCATGTGAAAATCATAGTCATTTTTATACGTATTCATGTTTGATTGATTAAGAATATTTGATAGTTCTTCGCGAAAATTGATATTCATAGAATATGGATAATCACTTTGACGAACTATACTTAGAAAACTGTAAAAATCTAATGAGTTAAACAATTGTTTCATTGTTTCATTTGCTACCGAATAGTTTACCGAAATATTTTGAAAGCAAAGTTTGACTTGATCAAGTGTTGCAAAGGACCATGTCGATGGAAGTTCAGAAATAGTCGAATTAAATTTACAGAAATTCAATGGTTCATTAGCCGAATATTCATCAGGTAAGACAAATATTATTAAAAATATTAATATTGTTCTCATCGTACGAATATGATGACCTGTGTAATGTAAATTTCAAAAAAAATTATTCAGTTTTTATAGTGTGCTTTTTTTTATTAAAGAAGTCATACTTTAAAAAGAAAAAAAAACCTTGATATTTACATTTCATTTTACAGCGAATTGAGATATTTATCATATGAATTCCTATTCATCGTGCAGAAAAACAGCGCTGACATTTTTTCTTATTCTTCGGTAGATGATATTCCACCTCCAACTACATGCGTCAGCAAAATTTATTTTCAAAGAAGGAGTCAATATTGACTTCAACTCAGATTTTGTTTTTCGCTGCAATACTATTAGCAATTGATATCAAACGATCGAAAAACAGTCAGATTGACGTCAATAAGAATCATGCATCAATGAAATTTTTATATTGAAGCTAGTAATACACAGACAGGTTAGATCGCTAGAGGGAAAGTGTTAACATTTTCAATGGCTTGTTCCATGTTTTCCAATTTTCTTCAGCCATAATGAGTCATGAAAAACAAACGTCAGTTTAAAATGTTATTTTAATGAGATATTTCAAAAGTCTTGTACACATTCACGCTTTCCAATTCAGCAATTTGTTTTAAGAGGGAGGGCAATTCGATATTTCAACATTTCTTGAAAGATCATAATAGTGATGATGATTCATCAGCTGCTTCAATTTTGTTTCCACTGTAACATATTATTATATCAATTAGACTAGTAGCAGATAGTAAAGTCTAATTGCTAACATGATGTTTTAGGATAGAGATAAAATGGAAATAGTCAAGAAATCATTATAGCTATGTCTCAAGAAACTTCGAAGTATAGAATTACTGCGTTTTCTTCGAACAGATTGCTTAATTAAAAAACTTGCACGTTTAATAGCATATGAAAATTTTGAAATTAACAGAAATCCATTTTTTTCTATAAATTGTTTAATCCTAATGTACCTAATGCGTACATAAAATTAATTGATAAATATCAGTCATCAGTTTTTCGTTATTTTCTTTAGCTTCAATATAGCGAATGAATAAAATGCACAGGCACATGATATTTATTCTCTTATGTTGATAGCACAAATAACGAATGAGTAAGTGACATGGTTGATTGATTTCAAATAAGAATGACTAATTTTATTTGTTATCGTCCCGTTTCGTCAACAAATTTGCTTTCATTTAATATCCTACAACTTAATAATTAGTTATTTGGTCAAAAAATTAGCACTCAATTGATTCATCATAGATAAGCAATTTTTATTTTTTTTGTAAACTGATTGATAAATAGTATAGTATAGAAATGAATTACTACTAGTATTTTTCTTTATAATTGATGATCCAACCGAATAGGTGAAACATAATTTGACTAAGTAATTACAATAAATTGAACAATTTCTTTGTTTATTTGGAACGACTGTAAAAATTTAAGACAAAACTGTGCAAAATAATTGAAAGAAAAAAGGATCAACCATGTTTAGTTTTCAATAATTATCATTATCTACATGATTGTATTCTCAATAAGGATACAAGTTAACGTTGAGGGTGTGGATGAGTATAGGCTTGGATGTGTCTCGCGCTGAAGACTTCCACATCCTCAGGTTCTCCCTCCCCCACACATGCAAAGATATTTTTTGACTTTTAGTTAAATATTAAAACATAGATACTTTATATTCACTGGCATGCTTGCTTGTTCATGTCAAGACAAATATACCACATCATTTTAATTAGCTGGTGCAATCAGAAAAAAATCAAAATTCATTAACCATCATGATAGACAAATTGTTCAATACAATGTGGTTTAGACAATACTTGGGATCCATTCTAAAAAAACGAATATAAATAAACGAGCATTGCCTCAAAAAGACTACTCTTTATTCATACTATGACTGAAGAGCTTATCGCTTAGTGATTCAGAACGATCGATGAGATATAGTAGAATGTTGCAAAGCCAAAGAATTTAACATACATTAACATACTTGTTATATTGATCATTCTCACAAATATCTAGCTTGAAAAACGTGTGACAAGTGGTACCTTCGTCAAAGATTCATGGTGAATTATTTTATTGTATGACAGCGAGTACGGTTGACATGAATGAAATCACTGTTACCAATTGTGTACGAAATTTAGTTTCATAAACGTACCCGTTGTATAAAATTCTCTCGAGCAAGTTGCATTTATTTATTTTTTGGCTTAGATGTGGGTGTCAACGGTTACTTGTATGAATGTTGATGTGGGAATCTGCCACTTCTTCATTCTCACCTAAAACCGTAGGAACATATCCATCTATTCAAACTCATAGTTCTCTAGATATAAAAAAAAATATTTATTGCAGTTAGATGACAACGAATATAATGTAAGATTTGTATAGTTCTCGAAGTTTCCAATAGTGACAAGCTATATTTTAGTATGTCAAACTAGGCATGCACTGAACCCGAACTACCCGGATTCAGTCATACTCAGATTGGATAACGGGATTCCTGTGTCTACTTATTCGTATCTTTCGAAGTATAGAAATGAATAACAAATAGTGCCTATAGATAGATAATAAAAAAATGATTTTATTTCAAAGGTTTATCGTCTCTTCCTCAATCTATCATAGATAATCTTATTTATCAGGAAAACATACAATTAAATGAGCTTTTATTAATATCTCTCTTGGACTCAACTACAGGAAATTGTCGAATGGTTCTCCTTATTGCAATGATCCTTCTGATAGCCTAAGTAGGGACGTGAGAATTCGAATACTACCAATACCAATACAATCTAGTATTGATTGGTGATATTAATATTAGGCATTATTAGTATTGATATTGTGAGTAGGCCGATGGAAAAAAAGTCATACATCTGTATTTCCGGAAAATTTAAGAAGGAGAACCATTCGAAGATTTCTTGCAGTTGAGTCCAAGATAAATATGAAGAAAAGTTCATTTAACTGTATCCGTTCCTGATAAACGAGATTAACTATGATAGGCTGAGCGAGGCAAAGGATCTTTGACATGAATTCATCTTTTATCATCTACTATATAATCCATAGGTGCTATTTATTATTCATTTCTATGCTTTGAAGGATACGAATAAGTAGACCCGCGAATCCCAGTACAGAATCTGGGAATGATGAAACCCGGGTAGTACTGACCCGAACTACCCGGGTTCGGTACATGTCTATGTCAGACATTTCAAATTATACTTACGGTAGCAACAAAGTAAGAGATCGTTCAAAACTTACCATCTCTTGACTCACAACAGTTGGTGTTGCATAACAATTGCGTGTTAATTTAACTGACTTTTGCCAGTAAATATATGGTTTTTGTTTGACTTAATATTCAGATATATAGTTAACAGACTTGTAATTTGAAGTTTATGTCAATCGCTATAAATGAATTGAGAAAAATGAACTCGAAGGTTTACGATGAAATTTTAGTTTAAGCTAAATATTGATTTTCATGCTTGGTTGGTCCTCTGTAACCTTAACATATTCATCCAACATAGTTAATTGAAGACTCTTATCGCACGCTGAAAGTGTATTTTAGTGCTTTTCGATTTTTATTCAATTATATTAAATAAGATAAAATAATTCAAAATAAATTTGTAATACAAAGCCATATTAAAACTTTCCTCTATTAAATAATTGAACTGTACTGTACTTTGAATTTGTAATATCTTTAAAAAAAGGAAGTAAACGGCTCACTAATACACTTAATATCCTAAGTAGATAAAATTTTGTTTATGGCAAATTTTTCATCTATTATAATTTATAACATAAGGAATATATATTTTATTGTCGTTTTGATCGAATTCTATAGTGTTAAAATATCTTACTTGACTTTGATCAATCAAAGTAGTATCAAATTTTGTTACATCGATCGATCTCATTACACAATGAATTCGATAATAAGCAATATGAACTTAAGATCATCGAATAAAGTAAATTCTCAACAGATTGTATAGTATCATCTCTCACAACAATCAGATAAGAATATTATCAAAGCAAAATTTATGATTGATATAATCTGATAACAATCAGACGACGACACATCAAAGAATTCATGTGATCGTACAATGTTGATACTTCTATTTTTAAAACAGTTCAATTTACTAAATCAATATTAACAATGGAAAAACTAGAAATCTATTTAGAACGGAAAATACTTGTATCAGAGACATAGTTGAGATTTACTTTGAATATTTGGCTACAGCTTGATTGCGGACATTTTATTCCTCCAATTAAGAGAAAACGTCCGCAAAGTAGAAACAGAGGGAGAGAAACAAAAATAGTCGCAGAGTGGAAAATGTCCGCAAAGCAGAATCGGGGCGAGAGGAGAGAAAAAAATGTCAGCATTATGGAATCAAGACAAGATTTATTAGGTGAAAAAAATACAGAAAAATCATTTATGAAGAATAGTTGAGCATCTAACTGTGTTAGGTTGATAATCAAGATTCATTCCAAAATGATAATTTTTAAAAACTATAAGATCTTTATTAGATTGTGTGGAAATTGGAGAAAAGTTATCATCTTTCACAATGGACATTTTTATTTGATTCGTCTAGGTTTCACTTCGTCACTTTCAATGTTTTTCTTTCACAATAAACATGCTTATTAAGTGGCCAGGATGACATGTGATGAACAACACTAGACTAGCTCGAAACAGTTGATATTATTCAGTACACCTATTTGCATGAATCATCTTAAAATATCAATTTCCCTTTGATTCCGCAATGCGTACATTTTTTGCTCTCTTCCCCCCGATTCTGCTTTGCGGACATTTTCCACTCTGCGACTATTTTTGTCTCTCTCCCCCTGTTTCTACTTTGCGGACGTTTTTTTCCAACAATTAAGAAAAAACGTCCGCAATCACGAAGACGCGGAATATTTTATTTCATCATATTTAACTGATAGTAAAATAGATGTAGTCGTTTTCTATCGATTTCATTATCTGTTCTTTTATTTTCTTAAAACGGACTACACACAAATCAAATAAAATGTTATACAAGTAAATATAAAAAATAGACTTAATCGAAAAGAAAGAATTCCAATGTTATGTATCTTTCTTATACATATCGCCTCTTTCTGGTATATCTAAAATCAAATGTGAATAAAACGATAAAATTTCAAAGTTTTTATTATTATTATATACAAACCAGGTCCGTTTGCTGTTATGGGAAATTGACAGGCATCGCCTTTCCAACCCGACGGGCATCTACACTCGCCTGTCACACTATCGCATAATTGAAACGAGTGACATGAGCATAGTTTACAACCCACGCCAAATGTATTTGTTGGACAATCTAAATACAGCAAGATGATACGTCATAGGATTCTACATTATTCAGCTTTCGATTAATACCATCTTCACATCTAATGCCAGTTCGACCAGCAGGACACTGACAAATACCCGATTTAGAATCACATGAATTTCCATCGCAATCGCATTTATTTAAGCATTGATCTCCCCATCGGCCCAAAGGACATGCTTAAATAAATCAGTAACGTCATATTTATTTTATACGGTATCATCTTTTCTCACCTGTTTCACACTGATCACCATAAAAGCCTGATTTACACCGACATTTACCTGTTTTTGAGTCACAACTATCCGATCTTTCTATGGAACAGTTACATGTTTGAGAACAATAAAATCCATGTGTAAATGGTCGGCATTCTAATTATAATTTTTTATTACAAAATCAAATATTTTTACATTCTTACCGAACTGACAAGTCGAACCATAGTATCCAATGGGACAGGAGCAACAGCCTGTTATTCTATTACATCGAGCACTATTTTTACATTGGCATATGTCTGAACAATTGCGACCATATGTTCCTTCAGGACATTCTAATTTGAATGACATGAGAAAAAATCTATTTTTCTATCTTTCTCATCAACCAAACAAACCTTGATCACATAATATTCCTGTTACACCTATCCCACAGAGGCAAACTCCTGTGCGCGCATCACAAGTTGCTCCATTATGACAATTACATCGATGAATACATCCAGGTCCATACCAACCACGTTCACATGCTAAATAAAATGATAAAATTTAGAAAAGAAAATATAAAAAAACTAAAATAGTTAAACGACGAACATCTTTCACAATATCGTCCGGCATGACCCGAGTGACATAGACATCGACCAGATGTTGATTCGCATTGAGCATTATTCATGCACATGCATTTTTGACGGCAACTTGGTGCGCCATAGTAACCTTAAAATCAAAAACAAATGACATGTTTCCTTACAAGCAAAGATGTAATTATTCTAGTCACCTTCGGGACATGAAGATATTAAAGATTTTTTTCTTTGTTGTTCTAATAAACATTTCGAATCACCATTACAAGACGATGAATGACATTCGCCTGCATAAGAAAATAAATAACCACTAATTTTTTTTAAAATTATTTTCCTATGTTACCTGTTCGAGGATGACAAATATTATCTCCTGTGCATTGACATTTTTGCAAACACATATGTCCGAAAGTACCTGGCGAACATGAAGATTCACATCGACCACCCGTGAAACCAGATAAACAAAAGCAATGGCCATCACGAGAATCGCATATTCCTCCATTTTGACATATGCATCGATTAATACAATCATGACCATAATAATTAATTGGACAATCTATCGATATTAGCAAATATTATATTTCAAAATAAGGACATATTTATATAATTCACGGCAATGTACACAAGAAAAAGACAAAAAAAGCATGAGGCATTGATCAAATATACTCACAAATTATTGTCGTATCTGTTTCAAGTAGCAATTCAAACAGTATCTTTCTAATGAAAGGATCTCTTCTCTAACTCACCTTCTTCGCAACGAATTCCTTGATGGCCCGGCAAACATTGACACTTGCCAGTCTAAAAGATGACGTAAAACAAAAATTATATGTATCTTTCTACACAAATAGAACAAAATCAAATATCATATTTCTATTTAATATGTAATCGAATCTTTTCTTCTTCTTCTTCTTCTTCTTCTTCTTTTTTTCTGTATAAAACAAAAAGCCTACCTACTTCCATATGGCATGAAGCCGTATTTCCTTTATGACATAATTGACATCGATGTGCTTCATCAACTATATTTTCTTCACCCATTTTTGTTTGATTACAAAATAATCCAGTAATTCCCGATTGACAATCGCATGTTCGCACACGCCAATTACATGTGCCGAAGACACATTGAGCACATGAATATTCACAATGCATACCAAAACGATTATGAGGACAGCGGTCTAACAAAACAAAATTGTATACATACATGCATAGGTTTATCAAGCTTGTCGTTTATGTTCAAGGGATCTGAGGCTAAAATGTTGACTGAAAATGCTCGCATTTTCTTTGTGTCAAAACTGGTCACTGAGGGCTGGAAGGGGAAGAAAAAAACTGTCCATCACTGGATCTTTTTTGGTGCCTCTCTCTCTCTCTCTCTACCAGGCTTACCTCAATCGTTTATTCACTGAATAGTTATACAAAGTCGGTAGAAATTATTGAAGATTTTTGCAAAACGTCGAACATTTGAAAAATAAAACATATTTGATAAACTTACTATGAATTGAATCTAATTGATGAGAATTGGCATGTCGTAGAGGAATTTTTCGTTGTACACGATTTGGTTGCATGGCTATGATAGAGAGAAAAAACGTGAATCATATTTGATACATACTAGTTTCTTTCTACTGTCAAAGTACATTTAATTTATCAATGGACATGATTTTGAATGAGCGTTAACAAAATTAAATTCAGTCAAAATCTATAGTGAACAAGAGAAAATTGCTATTGCTTTTTTGTGTCGTACAAGTTATTTAATCTTTAGCTTCACTGTGCCTTTTGACTAGACTTTTGTTATCTAGATTATCATTCTGCACATACTTTGTTTTTCTGATTGACCAAAGTAGATAGAATTGAAACCTTGTTTTTCCTTTCGCAAGTATGTCAACATACATACAAACACATCTGCCTTCTATCAAAACGATAGAGAACAAGAACATTAGTTCATGGTCATCGATTTACAAATCGACCCTCTATCAATAATACTATGCGTGTGTCTATATGTGTTTGTCATGATATTGTCACTACCCATAATTATGAACAAACTTTTTTTTTATGAAAGGAAAAATATCAAGTGGTGTACTCAGTTATATCGAGCACCTATGATGAATTTCAATGTATTATTCAATCGTTCATCATCATTGCTCTTTCATTTTCACTATATTGAAGCATACAATAAAATCATTCAAACAATAGTAGTCGACTGTTTTTAAAATAAATAGTTAACATATTTTTTATTAGAATTAAATGAATTCTTACCGATAGGACAACCATAATCTTGAATGAGACGTGTCCATCCAAGACAACAGTGATAGATGGTTACATTTACTTCTGCAGTCACTGTCTGCTCACTTCGATAATATTCCGTTCTAAATAAAGAAATCAATTAAAACATATTAATGTTTGAAAGAACAATCGAACCTGTGCTCATATGTTGGACATATACGACGACCATTAGAACAATTACGTGACCATACTTTAACAAGATGATCATAACTTTTGAGACATGGAATAAGCTTAGTTACAGTTCGAATTTCTACTTTTGAACAAACATTTGGCCTTGAAAATAAATTTAAAAACATCTTATTTTTTATTTTTGTTGTTTTCTATTTTTATTTATCAGCTGATATGTTTTAATATAATTATTATGAACAGAAAAAAGCAAACAATGCAAACAATTGACTATGTTTCTATCGTTCGAACAAATATCATTGCTTTCTTCGTAGAATAATGTCTCCTATATGTTTTGTTGCGGCTGTCATCGGTCGCTTTTGATCTTATCGATATCGACGCGACAGTAATAACATATTTTCTGTCGGTGTCAACATTTGCCTTGGATCTATATCTATATCTATATTTTTACTTTTTTTAGATTAGATACTCACATATCACTTGTCAATTCAATATCATCATTGGAGTCGTCGTCGATATTTGTTGTTTTGGATGAGGATATAAGAAAAAACAGTAGAAACCAAGTTGCTAGACGCATCGACATTATTGTTATTTGCTTAGATGAATTAGTCAGAACAGATTTGAACAAATATAGATCAAACAACAATCTCGACTATTATCATTGTTATTATGATTACCGCGAATAAGTATTGATGAAAAATAAAAGAGAGAACAATACCAAGTTGATGATCGATAAAATCGATGTATGTATTCTATATTTGAATATACGAATAAGAAACTAATGACAAATCAAGCGCAATTGAAGGACAGGTGAACGAATGAATATGAGTATTGCTCTTTATATTTCTATCTTTGATTACGTCCGTACGTGAGTTTGTGTGTATATAAATGTACAGAGACACTGCTGACAATGGCTAAACGATGAGCAAACGGGACGCACAAGAAAAAAGGAGAGTAAAAATAGTAGTTCTCTCTCTCTCTCTCTCTCTCTCTGTCTCTCTCTTTCTGTCCCGTTTACTCAATGTTAAAGCAAAAATAACACTCAAGAGAACGAGAGAGCGAGAGACCGAAAAAGAAAGGAGAAATTGCAAATACAAGCATAATTTTTTTAGTATATCCATGCACATAAGCAAAAACAACACACAAATACTCTATTTTATTTGTGGCACACACCACTAGAATTCAATTGAGTATAGAAGAAGAGAGGTCTGCCTCTATTCCCTAACCATCAGTTACTTCAAACGAATATGACAAAATCATATAATTGACTTTTTTCTTTTACTACTGTTATAGCAACCATTACCACTTCCAATATTACTATTCTCAATAATACACACCAGGTGACAAATGATTATGTAAACACATCTATACATTACATTTCAATATTAAAAATGCATACATACACCCGAAAAAGAGACTAATCCAGTCAAATAGTAAAGATGTTATTCTTTTATGGTCTCATTCGAGCTAGTCCGTCGGGTACATAGTGAAAAGAAGTCATTAAAAACGTTTTCCGATCTGACTCATTTCGGAGAGTACTCTGAATCAACTGTCTGATTATTGAAAACATAATTTCATTGTCAAATACTGTTTTTTCCTGTTAAATATTGTATTAGCTCTTGTTTTTGTTACAACGAAAAAATTTGTTAGAAAAGCAATTTCATCAATATAAATTTCAAATCTACAAACCACGCGATAATGATTATTTTCTTATTCAATAGTTCTGTGGTCATAATGAAATATTTTATCGATTGCATGTTTATATTAGATATATAATCTAAAGCCACAAAATGGTTGAACAATTTTGCATGATCGTACTAATATTTTGAAGTACTAAGCTAACTGTAGAATTATTAAAGATGACAAACTTTGAATATTTTAGTTGTTGTTTTTTCATTACATGTCGATAAAAAGAAAGCAAATGTTCATCAGACTCTTATTGAAGTATAAAGGTAAGTCATGCGTCATCTAACACACTTGAAAAGAAATAAAAGTACAAAGATTCAGTGGAATTTCGGCTACATTTAACATAATTAGATTAAAATGGCTATCGCGATAGGCAATGTTCTTTCACATTATTTTAGAATAGAATCATGAAATGATTTTTTTTAAAGAATCCATATCTATGCAATTCTGTTCTTCTTTGATCATGATTCATTAGCAAACGAGTTTTTTTCTCAAGAACAGCTAACTTAGAATAATTTGAATGAGTATTTAATGTCCTCAGCCTTGTAACTTCTTCTCAGTAATAATGATATTTTCAAGATAGAAGAAGCTGTATTCGTCCAGTTCGCTTCGATTGTTTTTAATATTTTTTGGCAGCCATGTCTTTATCCTGTCATTATACAAGCGTCCACTTATCTGTCCTAGACAACAATTTTCAAATAACGATACATTCGAGATAAGAGCCTTTCATAACTTTAAATAAAATCTCAAAATTCTAAAATATTCCTGCGTTTCTGTTAAAATCAGATTGAACTTGATTTTCAGAAAAAATCAATTCAACATCTGACTTTCAGATTAGATGTGAAGAAACTATTTTATATAAATTGACTTTTTTCACTCATAATCAATCTAAACATGTTTTTCATCAGATAATTAGTGAAATCGATCCTTCTATAATTGATGTCGACAAAAATTGATTTCTTTTGAAATAATCAAAGTAGCGCATTTCAAAAAAATTTAAGACAATACTCGATTGCTATCTGTTGTTTATATTACAAAACGATTGAGGATGACTTGGTAATGATCAGTCTCACCCAAAAAAGCTTTGGAGTAGCCTCGAGAAATGAGATTATATACTAAGCAAAAAACTTGCTTATTTAACGTTGAACAACATGGAGCCTCATGCATTTTTATTCTAAATCGGTCAGTTTCAATATAAATTTTTCGATTTCCTACAAAATCTAAGTCATTGATTAATAATCTGCTAGGTTACAGTTAATCTCGAAGTCTATTTAGTTAAATAGATTCGCTCCCCGAGAACATGCATGTGAACATTGATTGGAAGGAAATGAATGAAAATTTATTGATCAAGCGGATGAATTCGATAGGACCTCACAAAATCTTACTAGGTAATAGAATAAAAAACGGCTCCGAAGATTGAATTCTTTTAAATATTTCCTGATACTTTACTATCAAAGCTGATCGAAATTTGATCAATCCGATTTCGATCAATTTTCTTTAGAGTCCCATAACTCTCTTTGAATCTATATGAATGTTACATGCTCAGCTGAAATTTCTCTTCAAGTTGCTTCCGCATTTATTTGGGAAAGTCTATGAATTCTCACTGTAAAAACTTGACACATCTCTTATGGGGCATAGTGCCACACTGGCGTAGAACTAGTTAGAGTCTTAGCTACTCTCGATTATCAATTCATGAGAAGAGTTGATAGATTGAATTTTTCATACGACATACAATACACTTGCCTCCATTACACTCAATTAGTAAATCATTTCCGATTACTACTTTTACAATTATTCTACAAAAAAAACTCTTTTTATTTTCAAATGTTTCGCTACACGTACGTAATAGATATCATACAAAATTTCTCGTTTGACGAGATAAAGCATCGACGTTTATAAATTCAACAAAATTGGCTATACATATTGAATTGAAAGCCCTCTAAAATCTTTTCTTCGCGAAATACTCCTAATCAATCCATGCATGGCATTTTTTGATGTGACTGCAATGTATGAACGAATAATGAACTGGAGAAGATTTATTATCGTTCAACAGTATCAAATGCCCACTCATCTCCTCTTTGTATGATCATATGGATGGGATCATAAAATACGTAGTCTTGTTGATGAATTGGTGGATTACGATAACAATGAAGGCAGCAAAAAACATTATATAACGTACTTGTTGTATCTATTCTACTCTGAATTGAACGATTTAATATTATCGCTGTTATCAATAAACAACGCAAACGAAAAACATGAAATATGACGTTGGACAAGGATCACTATTCGAATGGATAGGCTTTTATTAAAAAGAAATTTCATTTCAATCATCGAAAGCAACAGAAATATTTACAACTAAATATGTCTTCGAGGCATCTGGAATATAATAATATGAAATAAATTCACAAAGAAAATTTTCATGAATATTATGGTTTTGGTTATATTTTCAAATCTTTGTAAATTTATGCGTCAATTAATTTTATTTTACTATTTGTCTCAACAAATAAAATAAGAATGCATCTCTATGCAACTTTTCAATAGCTTTGCAATTATTCTTTCACATGTTTCAAGTATTCCTATGTTTTTGATTAACAATATATCAAAATTTATATCACTACTACTATTCATCATTTAGAATTTGTTGTTAGAATCAATCAATGACTTCTTATTTAAGAATTCCAACTATTCAATAATTTAAAGAATCTGATAAATAAATTTGTTAGATGTAAATATTTCTGAACACGATAGTAATTACAATTTCTTTTTATGAAAGAAAAACGATTTAGTTGTTCTTCAGTAATAAAATCTTGTTGTTGTCAATATCAGATCTTTACGAACAAACGACATTTACTCGATCATTTGGAGTGAATATTGAATTATTAACAGTAACAGAATGGAGTGTAGAATGAAAAATCACAACTGGTACTATTTCAGAAGCTGCACCATGCACGGTAATAGCTGCTTGCGTTTTTTTCTTTATTTGTAGTTTTATATGTACTGGCTAACATCTGTTCATTTACTCCATTCACCAAGAAGAGCACATTCTATTCGAATTGGAACATTAAATTGCTATAATGGTGATACATACAAAAGACAAATGGATGAATTATCATATCTACTAGCTAAACCATCACTAGAGTATGAGTTGTCTAATACGAATTCGAATGTAAATGAACCATAAGCTGCTGACAATAAATTCCAAAGAAAAACGAACCACCCAGGTCTATTTGGAAAATAACGAAAAGAAAAAAGGTTCGCTATAAATCGACTACTTAACTGTGTGTGGAAATCTTTGTACATATAACTGTTGCTTTACTTCAGCCTACCAGTTAGGGTGTGGATAGGAACGCGAGTTGACCGAAAATTAGTGCATGGCATAGGTACGAATCAGAAAGACTGAATCAAATTATGATCATGAACTTAAATAAGATCAAATATAAATTTATAACAAGGAAAACTTTTTCTTTTCGTAAACCTGCATGAAAATTGAGAAGATATTTTTATTTTCACGTCTTCGTGATATATAAAACCACTAAACAACCGATATATGTAGATACCACGATTGTCTTTGAAATTTTTTTCCATGAACGATGATTGCACTGAACTCTACTAAAAACATATCCTGCGAAACGATGTTAAATTCATTTACATATCACTAATTGATTTTCATATCTTTAACAAAGAACTTAGAGTAAAGCAGACCAAGAAGATAGGCAATTTTAATCTTAATTATCTGACTAAAAATGAGATTCGTTGAATATTTCAACATATATCATACGTGTCGTTAAACAAAAGTGTAATTTAGTATCTTAATTCTCTATATTTTGACATTATAGTCTACTGCAAACCAGAAATTCGATAAGAATCAATTTTGTTTAGAAATGCACACGTATACACACATGTTTTCGAATTGCACAAAAAGAACTAAAAGAAAACACGACAATTATTGACGTGCTAGTGAAAACAGCAAATACACACACACACACAGAAAATTTCGTACAAAAAAAAAAGGCAAAACAAAGTGACTAGTTCTCTCGAGTCTAATAGAAAATTGAAAAAGGTTTTAAACATCTATTTTTTCTTCTTCGGCTAAACGAACAACATTTGATATAGGCAAATTATATTTGTACGGTAAATAAGGCGGTCGAAATGTGTTCATTAATGGTGGTGGAAGTGGTGATGATGATGAATCAGTACCACTACTTGTATAGGTTGTTGCTGTTGAAATCGATAATGATAATGGTCGTCCAGCAATTATTGGTTGTTGTTTCATTAAAGAAATAGTTTCGTAACCACTGTCTCGAGGAGGTTTTGCTAAAATAGAAAGAAACAAAATGTAGCTATTGATTTAGAAAACGATATCAGTAAACAAATTTTACGTGGTGGAATAACAACAGAAGGCATTGATGAAATATAAGGTGATGGTGGATAACTGTTGCGAATAATTCGTGAAAAATTTGGATGATCTGATAATGGGCGTAATATTGAATTCTATGAAAAATTCAACATAAAACAAGAATATAATTTTTAAAATTAGATCTAACCTTATTTATACTTTTTATTTGTTTGTTCATTGAATCCGATGATTCACATGATGTTTGATCACTACTATTGAAATTAACAAGTCGTTCACGTTCTTCTGATGTCATATCATCATTATCATCTAATTTACTACTACAAGCACTTTCATCATGTGTAAATGGAGATTTTCTATTTAGTGTATCATATAAATTGTATTGCTTTGCACAATTATATGTATTTTTATGATTTCGATTTTTTTGATAGCCAAATATCATAGTATATAAACATAATGTTATACAAATTGTTATAATTACAATAAAAATAAATAGAAAAAGTGCAAATAAACCAATAACTACATATGAATAATGATCGAAAATTGATAATGACCATTGAAAATATTGTTTATCATTAACGAATGAATTATTTAATAAAGATATAGTATCATTTTCAATTGAATTATCTACAATATTCGTTGTTGATGTTGATATATAACAATGATGCGTTGAATTTAATCGGCTCGGTTTTCCATGATCGATAGCCATAATACGTAAATGATAATAGGTTGATTGATTTAAAATTTCTGAATTAAATACTTGACCTTGAGTGTTAATTACAAATGAATTGTTATACGGTGGAAGAATTGAATAAGATATAAGACCATTATCACCTATATCTAAATCTGTTGCATGAACTTGAAACAATAGCTGATTATTATCTAAAATAAAATAAAACAATAGATTGAAATTTGGCAGTCACGTTTTTTTCCGTCTAATGAACTTACCTATAGATTTATTTTCTGACGGGTTTATTTGTATATTACAATTTATTGATTGATTAAATAATGGTGGAGAATCATTTTCATCCGTAATAATTATTTTATATTCGAGTCGAAGAATTTTCGATGGTTTTCCATGATCGTTAATTATCAAAGTAAAATTATCGGATTGTAGATTATTATTTTCTCGATCAATTAAACGTTCAATAGTAAGTAAAAATGATTTTTGATCAATTGTACGTATTCCAATAAGATCATGACCATGTTCAATACGATACGACATTTCACCATTCAAACCAGCATCTTGATCTGATATAGAAACATGTGCTAGAATGTGTCCTATTGGAGTATTTTCATGTATAGAAATCACTGAATCATTTACAAGAGATTCAACAAATGTAACAAATGCTTGTGGGCTATTATCATTTTCATCAATTATAAAAATATCGATGGTAGCAAAATTAGCCAGAGAATTTTCACCTAAATCACGAACTTGAACTGTTAAACGATATGATTGTTCAGATTCATAATCAAATGGACTGACTAAAGTCAAGCTAAATGGAAAAATTATAGAAATTATTTCAAAACAAATATTGCATTCGTGTTATCTTTCTTACACTCCAGTTGAATCACTAATACGAAAATAATCCATCCAGCTAGACGATGGTAGACCATTGCTAATCGAATAATGAATCTTTGAAACAAAATAAAAACTCTTTATGCAATAAAAAAAATTAATAATATTTGTTTTACTTTTCCATTTAATCCAATATCTTTATCTGTCGCATGAATACGTGATAATTCAGTTCCAACAGGCGTATTTTCACTTATATTCAGACGAATATGTGTCTCTGCTAGAACAACTGAATTATCATTCATATCCTAACCAATGAAAATTAGCGTTAAAAATCAATTATCATCTTATTAGAATGTGCTTACATCAATTTTAATATATAATTTTGTTGAACTCTGTCTTTTCGGTTGACCATTATCGAAAGCAATCAATTCATATTCATAATGATCTTGTTCTTCTCGATCGATTTCTTTGATAACTTTCAATGCTAAACCACCATTAATCTTTGTCACTATTTCAAATGGGCCATCGTTATTTTTCTCATGTAAATATTTAAGCTCATAATTAATACGACTATTTTCGCTCAAATCAGCATCATTTGCTTGTTCTAAACTGATCTCATATCCTATTGGAACATTTTCCATTAAATTAAATTGATAGTTTTTTGATGAAAATGTCGGTACATGGTCATTGATATCATCTATATTGAGTACAAGTTGTAAAAGACGATATGGTATTTGCCATTCAATTAATTCAATTGTTAATTGACATTGTGTACATGAACATGCATGTTGAGAACATAGATATTCTCGATCGAGTGAACGCGCAAGTAAAAGATGGCCATTCAACGCATCATAACGCACAAAAGAATTATGATTTCTACCTGTATCAAATAGACGATAAGTTATTGTGTTATTAGTTGTAAATAATATTGTTGATAATGGTAATTCTTCATCGACACGTATATATATTCTTGGTTGTTCTTGATTTTTACAAAATACATTTGAAAAGATAAATAAAAAGAATAAATACAACGTCATCTAAAATTTGAACATATGTAAAAACATACATTTTTTACTCATAAATGAAAGTATAGACACCTATAACTTTCTACTTCACTAGTATTTTTTCTTTCTCACAAATTATCACCTTTTTCTTTTTGTTTCCATAGAGTAACTATATTTGACAATTAGACATATGTACAATGTTCATTTGAGAATATAGGCAGGTGTGTGCACGTGAATTTCGAAAGCAGGATATACGCCCAAGACAAATAGAAAGAGAAAAAGAAAGTTCCGGAGTTTGACTATACGAGACGAAAATTACATCGTCTCATTTTGATCTAATCATGTGAACGAGATTGTGTTCACTGTCAATTCTCATCTTATTGAGGAAATGAGATGGAAGATGAACGCGATGAACCGCATGGAAAATGTATGTAGACATTTGCGCCCAATGGCTACTATTTGTTTTGACTTGCTTTGCTTAGATTTAGGAAATAAAACAATGAACAACAAGAGAAGAACACGAAGAAGAAGAAAAAACCTTGACTAACAATATAAGAAAAAGAAGCATATGGCACAAACAAATTAGAAAATAACGATAGGAAAAATTATTGAACTTACAATTGACTCAAGCTTGAGGCCATATTTCTTGATCATGAACTACTATTACTATGTTGTCCTCGTCTGTTTCTGCTTGAATGAATTGAACAATAAACTATTATAGATGATCATAAAATCTTTTCAACCAGAAATGATTTGATCATCATTTCAATCTTCTATTCAATAGAAGATAAAAAGTACATTAATTTTCTTCTCTCTTTTTTTTCTCTTGACGAAATATTCCCGAAAAAAGATAAATAGTGGTCATCTGGTAATACTCTGTTCATCAAATAAAAGTTCAACAAAATCTAGAGGCTTTTTTTTCATCGATCAATATCTTACTTTTCTTTAACGTCTAGACGTACATACATTGGTTCTCACTGCTGTGCTTACCTTGCCTTAGGAAGATAACAATACATATATATATATTGTTATTTCTTTTCTTTCTAATCACCTTGACTGTGTTTATTAGTTCTAATATTTATGTTCAGAAAATTTATGTCAATGTTTCTTTTTCTTCTCTCTCTCTCTCACGTACACAAAGGCTCGCGCGCTGGCACTGTCGACAACTTGAATCGATGGAGAATTTTTGACTCTTGATGAGTGTACAATAATATTGAAAATGATCGAATGAATAAATGAATGAATGAATGTCGGTCGGACGGATGTTGCCCGTTTCTCCTCTAAGTGTTATGAATGTAAACAGTTGAGTGGTAACTGCCCATTTAAATTCACATTGCGATGACGGGACACATACTTATATGCGCGTGTGTATTCACAATCAATTGAATGTCTCGAATGATTGAATTTTCGTATCTTCTTTTTTCTCATCAATAGAACTATCGGAAAGACAAGCAACAATAGGGAGGAGATCTGAAGTGTTTTTTTGCGCATTAATTCGAAGGTCATATTGATGATAAGATTTAACGGAAACACATATACACACTTCTTTCTAATGAAAATATGCGATTAGCTACAGTAACGTTGTCATCATCAATGATTTCTATTTCTATAGTCATTTACTTACCCTGAAGGCATCCTAATGATGTTTTGCCATGTTAGTGTCTATCAGTCTGTCGACGCTATTGAGATAAACGGTCTCTAATCATTAGTTATTAAATAATTACTAACAAGACCTATTGGTGGATGATGAATACTTTAATGAATGCTCCTTTTTTTCCCTTCTTTTTTAATAAAAACAATATGGATCTTTTTCTCGATTGAATCTATTTCCGGTCGTGTGTCAATATATATTAATGACAATACCTACGTATATAAATTCTAATACTTGACCCTATCTTAAATAAGTAACAGCTGCCATTTACTCGCATTTTCTATACTATATGTACTCGTTGTCATATGTACAGACATAGTATACAAGTAATAGAAGAAATAAAGAAAGAATACTTATGTCATTCATTCACTTATTCACTCAAGTTTTGCATATACACTCACACTTGTTGTTTATTCAATCCATTAGTATGAAGACATAGAGACGTCGTGGTCGAAATGTTTTTGCGTGACTCTATCTTATCCCCTGTATTCTTGTGGTTCGAATTTTCTTTCTTTCTTTCTTTCTTTCTCTACTCATTTGACTTACTTATGGGACTTACTTGTTGATTTTTAATTAGAAAGGAACAGATTGGATGAGAATCACTGATAAAAATCTCTGACACACACATGCACATATTGAATATTGACAAAGATCGTCAATTCCGTGCGTGTGTGTATGTGATTTGGTTACATCATTTTCTGTAAAAGAGAAAATGAGAGTCAGTACTCGGTCCTTTCTCTTTTTTTTTATGATTATTTGATGAACGGACAACGGCAATAGCAACAGCCGTCGAAAGAGAGAAAAAGTGGCACATACATAGGCAGAGCAGGAAGGAAGTCTTTAAGTAGAACTGAGAGAGAGAGAGACAAAGAGAACAGGGAGAGAAGGATCAATCATAAAAAAACAACCAGAAAAAATAAAAAGAATATTTCATCATTGAAAAAAAAATCTGAAAAAAAAAACTAAAAGAATACCAATAAATACATCATGATGTTTATTCAAATGTAATGAATTGTTTTTTCTGATTGTAAAGATAAATAGAACACCTTTTCTTTTGTAAGATTTCACATGATGATGATGATGATACTTCTTTGTGAGCTTATATTACATAAAGAAAAGAGATTGACATCAATAGTCTTCGAAATGAGTAAAAAGATCGAAAGAAAGAAAAATAAAGTATACTCTTAAGAAGGACAATGAGTGTCAAGTGTGAAGTGAAACTTAGTGAGCGAGAAAAAAAAAGCAGACGATTTTCTTAAAGATTACAGTATACATACGTATGACTTGAAAATCAATTCTATTGTTCAATGAGTAAAAGATGATGACGATGATGAATAATTTTATTTCTATATAAACGACATGTTCTATTCATCTTTTGTTCTTTCATTCAACTTTTTACTTCTAAGCAGTGACTTTGCATCATATAGCATCACGTTTTTCCATCTGTCTCATACATTTGCTGCTGTCGCTACTCATTAGTTGGTCAGATTTTTGTTACTGAACGTGCTTACCAACCTAATTGATGTCAAAGATAGAAGAAGAATAAGAAAAGGGCTTATTCCCATAATCACAAGTGACACGGGTTGTCGCGCGCGCTCGTTCGCTCTCGCTCTTTGTCTAGCATTAAGCATGACACGACCAGATAAAATATTAATCAGCTAAATTGCACAATCATGACTGCCTTTCACTCATAAAATTCCATTCAATATTCGATCGATATTGATGACTATTGGGAGACAATTAGGCTTTTCTCTACAAAGTCTTGTCAGATTATACTTCAATAAAGAGAAGAAGACGAAAAAATCACCTGACCATTATGTCTGTGTATGTATATACAACTAATGCATCGATTATGCAAGTGAACAATTTTGACAGAGACATAGGATTGATTTAGAAGAAGAAGAAAAAAGAATTCAAAGAATAAACAATTTTCTTGTCGACAATGACACAAGTGATTTGTGTTACACAGCAGATGTGTTTTATAAGCCCATTTATAGACACAAGTAGCAGATTTATATACGTATGTAACAAGTATATCACTTGATGTTTCTCATTCACTTAATTCACTGAAAAAAAAACTTCAAGAAAGAATGTAATCTTCGAAGAGAATGCACACAATTATATACTCAAATTTCACTCTAGTATTCATTGAACAAAGGGTAATAGGTGAACGAGAATATATCTGCATGGTCGCGTGTGCTTCTCACTTTACTTTTCTTAGTAGCTATATATATATATTGGAACAAACAAGAAATGAATAGATCAATGCTCATTTATAATGATGTGATGTTCTAAGTATTAGAATAAAAAAAAAGAAAAAAATTCGACACGATCAAGAAATAAAAGATGTTCACAAGATGCATCTCTAGCCTCCTATGTCGACAAATACCATCAACATAATAAAAGAAAGTAGAGAGAGAGAGAGAGAGAGAAGAAAAAGAAACATTGACATAAATTTTCTGAACATAAATATTAGAACTAATAAACACAGTCAAGGTGATTAGCAATCGATTAAATGACAGAGAAAGTCACATTTTGTTTCTTATCGAACAGCTATTCAACAAATTGCAATACATAAATCTCTCACCTTAAGTTAATGACCTCCGTCTGTCATATTCGTTGACATATATGTACACATGCACTCAAATATTGGGTTATGAAAGAATCGATACATAATTCATCGTGCATACGCATACGCATACGCATCTACATATATACACTATCATACTAAGTCAATTATCCGTAGTAATACTAGTAGAATGCACAGGCTGTTCTATTCATCAGCATTCCATATTCTATTCTTACATCACGATGACCGGCGAGGTGATACGCCAAGGATAATCATACTCACACTAATCATAAATTCATTCCAGCAATAGAGGGTTACATTTCACGTTGATGAGAAATACTGATGTAACAAATACTTACCTTGAGCTTTGACATGATTCATTTTTACCGAAGAAAAATTTTATCGATTTATTAATTACCCAGTCATCATCTGAAGAGCAAGTGTTTATACGTATTTACATTATAGAATTGACACACTGTGTTTTTGATGTATGCCGTTGATCGACATCGATTAATTAATAGAGAAAAACGATTTGCAATCAACCGCTGTGAACAAGAGTATAAGCAAGGACGTTAATGAATGGCACTGTGTATGTTTGTTTACGGTAGTAGCCTATCATCGTTCATTGTGTTACACATACGCATCTGCGCGGTCAAAAGGAATAATTTGTATGTTGTATTGTCGGTCAGTTCGGTTTTTTTTTAGTTTACAGGCATATACGTATAAAAAAATTCTCTTTGAAGAAAATAAGAGAGAGAGAGAGAGAGAGAGAGAGGAAAGGGAGCAACAGACAGAAAGAATGGGAATGCATGTTTGAAGCAGATGGACAAATGAGAATGAAAAAGAAAAAGATCGATAAGCGATGCAGTGACCGTAGCACAATACGACAGACACTTTTTAGATATTCATCACGAGTGACAAGTCCCTGGCACTATTATCATCATTGCTATCATGATCAACATGGGATTTCAAGGACATGAAAAATAAAAGAAGTAGATAGACACAACGTCCTATAGAACAATAGAGATCAAATGAATAGATTTTGAAAATTCTTTAGGGACATTTTTAAAAAAACAGATTGACGGCAAAATATTTCCAAAACATATACAAGTCACATAGGGATATTTCAATATATTTGCATGTGCTGCTTGTACATATTTGAATCTATAGTGTTTATGAAACTTTCTCAACAAAAAGCAACAACATAATAACGGTAAAAGTAGTAGTAGTAAGATAATACATGAACAACTAGTTAAGTTAATGGATGTCTTCATAAGTAAGTGCACTATTCATAATTTCATTTTTCAGAATCAGCAATGAATTGTATGATAAAATTCTCTAATGATGATTTGCGCGTGTCTATGCCTTTGAGGCATTGTAAAAATTCTATCCACTATCATCACTTCATATTGATCTTCTTGTACTCTGCTAACACACACATAATAGTAATTAATTTGCTTGTTCTTTCGTTTTTGTGTTGCTCGTTTTCTTTTTTGTAGTGATATCTTTTGGAAGGCTCATCTGCTAATACTTATCTTTCTTGTTCATCTTTTTACTTGATGTATGTGGCAAGCAAGTCGGCCGATGTACAATGATGATGACGATCGCACACATCAAACATTGTACTTCTTATCACATGCTTATGTCCATACCCAAGATTAACAGACACAAAGTACATAGACGGACACTTCATGTGTTAAGAGAAAAAGAGAATGGTAATATTGTCTCACATTGAACAGATTATGTCGATGATGATAGTACCATTGTTGTGATGAACTGAAGAGAGAGAATTAGCTGAATCTATGTATAGATAGCAACGAAATTAAGTCTGTCTTTTATTATGTTCCTGCTAATACAAAAGCAAGTGAATAATCAATGTGAAAGATTAAACAATTAATTATGAATGAAGTTCTAGAAAAATTTAATCATTCACACGTATTGAAAAATAGAAAGTATTATGATCAAAAAGGGGGAATTCTAAATAGATTTTTAATAACAAGCACATCGTAATTTTCAATAGAACAAGAAAGAACTGATTTTTTCTAAGCAGTTGTGTAGAAAAAGTTATTATTTCATTTTAACATACATAGTGAACGAAAGATATGTTCACGATATTATATAGATGAACAAAAAGAAAACTGTAGTTTAATAAATTTCTCTGATATTCTCTTGGTGAAAACCAGAGTAGCTTACCCTAATCTTGTTAATCCAATTGCGTCGCACAATAAGCATAGTTTTTCCTATATCCTTACCATTGTCTATAGACAGTGTCGTTACTACATAGACATATTAAGAAGAGTTTATTTTTAGCCTTAGGTTTGCTATTAAAAAATGGCAAGATCGACCATATGGTTGGTTAATTACGTTTTAGCTTAAATCAGGTTATTTTTTCTAGAGTCAACCAAAATTTTGTATTTCGATTTTTCAGTATGAAAATAAATACATCACTGTATCGTAAGTGTGAAGTAGAATTAGTGGAAAAAAACTAAAAAATTAGTGGATGAAATGCTGCTGCGCTACAGAAAACCAGTAGGTACAGACAGCAAATTTTTGATGTAAACTTTATTCTGACCTTTACAAATACCATTATACAGTCTGAAAGAATCGTGTTTTTTTCGCGAAATTTTTCAGTACTAATTCCAATAATTTATCTTTCTGCCTTTTTTTTATGGCTAACCATAAAAATCAATGTATCTTAAAATTATTTCGGCAATGAATGTTCTTCTTCGTTATTTTCTTCATAAATCTCAAATACCATAATCAGTTTGCTTCTTGTAAAGATAATCAAGGCTAAAAATATATTCTGAATTATCGCTTTTTTTTTACTTTTGCGAAATTAGACAAAATGGAATATTGATTTTTTATAGAAAACAATACATAACAGAAAACAAGACTTCATCAAGAAAATGGATAACATACAATTATTGAAGCCATATGTGAACTTGCCGTTGCTTTTTATAACAACGATATCTTGCTGGTAATTCTTGTATCCATTCAGAAAATAAGTTGACAATTGAATTTTCTTCTTCGTTTATACTTTCGTTCTCAGTCTCATCAAAAGCATTATCATTGATAGGTATACGAAAAATGACACTGAGCAGATCTTCACCTAATTGTTCAAGGACATACTGACAACAATCAACATTATCAACTGGAATGATCAAATGTTGTATTCGAGGAAACATATCACAGAATGGTTCAATATTAACAGGTCGTTGATCTCCATAGTGACTTGGGTCAATCATAAATGAACGAAGACATTTTTTATGAGAAAATTTAGCAGCATTTAAAGCATCGAGAAGATTTGTACTAGTTTTTATTGATTGTAAATTGGGCATCATGTTCATTAATGCAATAAACTCGTTAGTAGGCACACTTTCTTCTCTAGTTAACTCTTCAACAGTATCTAAATCTACAAATTTCTTCAGATCGGTAAAAAATAATTTTAATTTTGGCCATTTTCCATAGAGAAATAAATTTTTTACATGAGAAAATTGAGGAAGATTGGTATTCTAAAGCAAAATGGAAACTTTACAATTACAATATTTCATTCATTGTCGTATATATAAAGTGTATCTTCAATTCATTTTCTTATTTAAACTTGTTGTAGCTTGATTTTTCTTCCTCATTTATTGATATGATAATTATAAATGCACGTAAATTTCAGAGAACAAAAACTATCTCGGAAATAAAATGTCAATTTTCTTTTGTTACAATTTCACTATACAACCAAATCTTGTTTTGATGTCTCCTTTATTTTAATATATACAACAATACATAATTACAAATATTGTTTTAGTATTTAAAAGTTTGTTTTTTATCAACTTCCATATTCAAACTAGATACTTAATCAATAATTGAAGATAATACTTGTTCTGATCTATAGAATTAAAGAAGAAATACACATTTCACTTCTTCTCACATTACACACTAATAGAATAAAATAGTTTTCTTTACTGAACTAGCGAATGCGAGATTCGCTGAACTTGACATGTTTTACTCATGATTACTACATCAAATGATGCAGTGAATTCTATATGTTCTCGTTGTAAATTAATTATTGAAAGAAAAATTCAAAACGTAAATAGTGTTACGCAAGAGAACTAGAATGTGTAAATTCAATTGATGCGCATTTTCTACGCGAAGTTCTTACCTCTACTCGATGTTTTGTTATCTTTGATGTATCTATATGCAAGTCACGAACAGTATTCATAGATTGACTGTGTAACATTAAATTATTAATAGCAGTAGAACGATATTCAAATGATGCTGCCATACTTTTCATCACATAAAAATCATTGAGATATGGCAATGTATAAAGAACGGTTTCATCGTCATACTTTTCCAATGATACAAACCAATGTTTCTCTTCCATCCAAAATGGTATTCGAAATGCATTTATACATGAATCCGCATCGCATAACGAATAATCTGATATATAAACTGAAAAAACAAATTCAAATTTATCCAGATGCGACACAAGAGTCGCCCATCGAGAACCATCTAAAATTGATTCATCTTCATATCCAGCTGTAGTACTCAAACGAAGTTGTTTCAATGTTGATATATCTCGGATGATCCATTCAATTTTCGACATATTCATTGAACATTCATTAATTGTTAATATTTTCAAATGATTTGTCGATTCTATAGATGCAAAATTTTCCGCTCTCGGTATTGGATTTTCTTCATGATTAGGATTTTCTTCATTATTCGGGTTTCCTTCATGATTAGGATGTTCTTCATTATTCTGGTTTCCTTCATGATTAGGATTTTCCACATGATTCAGATTTTCCTCATTATTAAGGTTTTCCTCGTTGTTTGCATTTTCCTCGAAATCTGCTTCTTCCATAATATCACTACCATCACTACCATCATCGTCTTCATGATTATCTGGAACATCGTTTAAATTAGGCTCCTCGTCAAAATCCAAATCGGTTACTTTAAGTGTTTCTAAATGAGGCGCATGAACAAATGTGTTTCGAATGAAATTCACACTACAAGTGCCTTTGAATGTTATGTGTCTAATCGAACATTCTTCGTGCCAAGGTAATGGATTAGATGTAGCTCGACAATATGAAAGATCGAAGTAGACTTCTTGAAGTGATGGCTTCGTTAGAACAGACATGATCAATTCAACAAAAACATCACCATACGTCTCATCAGTATTTATTATTTTGATTGAAGTAAAATCCAATAATGATGTTTGATCAGCAATAGGAATTAATATTTGATTCATATGTTCTTCATTATTAATCTGTATAAGTGTTAAATATCGAAGACGAACGAATGCATTCATAGAAAATCGTAAAAGAAATAAGGCAACTAATCCTGGACTATTCTCATCATCGGATAATGTTAATTTCGTAACTTGTTCTGGGCGAATACGAGAGCAAATTAAATCGAAATTATTTAAAGAAATAGCACTTAAATTCAAATGATAATTATCATAAGTTGATAGAATTTCATCAAATCGTTTACATGAATGATACAATGATACAAAAATTGTATCTATATCTAATTCATCCAATATTTTATATATAATTTCCACAGGTAAATCTTCAATATTAGGAGGTTCAAGTAGCTGTGAAATCGTTCCTAGTGGTACCACGACTGCGTTCGAACAGATGCAACCCATCGTATTTATTTTTTAATAAAAGCAACACACGTGCATGTTTGCCTCCGTTGTTTTAGAGTTCTTCTTTCGTCGTGTGCTGTTGGCTGTTAAAGTAATGCAGAAAGCAACTTTACAATTTTTTTTATTTGCTTTCACACTCATGCACTGTTTTTGCGTGGTTGCCGCTAACGAAAACATTTCCATGTTAGTTGACATTGAAAGATTCAAACCGGTAGTTTCATTAAAATGCTACAGATGAAAAGAAATTGAAATTTTGTTTATTTTTCTAGAAATATTCTATTCATCTTACAGATCCACACATCTATTGAGTGTCATTAAATTGAAATCATGAAGTGATTGTGCTTTGTTTGGTTCATTTCAGACAATGCAAAACAATCGATTGAAAACTACTTATCTTCGCATGGTGCATTGAAAAAGTTTTATCTCGTGTATTTACAACATGGCTTCAAGGTGATTATACTTCAAAAGTTAGACAGAAAGACGAAAGGAAGTGTGTGTCGAAAAACAATTGTATTAGTCTCATACGTGCACGTATCTATACACAATTGAAGATATAGAAAAAAAGACGATCAGCAAATGCATAGAATATAGAATGATAGTATTATGTTAATGAGTTTAGAGGGATAGCTTTTGATAAAAAATAAAAGTTTCATTAATATAGTTCGCTACTAATAATTAACATTGAAATCGACACAAGGCTTAACATTGATCAAATTTCGAAAAATATTTCGATGAAAAAAAAAACTTTTTTACAAGTGTCAATTGAATTTCTGCTTTCTTTTTTATGAGAAAAAAGTCGGTAGTAGTTACTGTTTCACAGACACATAAAATGTAAAGCTTATCGCAGTATAAAAAAGAAACAATTTCAACTTGAGTTTATCACATTGTATACGTGCTAATACTAATAGTGAAAGAAGAACTCTCTCTCTCTCTCTCAAAATCTATCATATGTAAATTTATATTAAATAATATTTTCAATTTATTTTGTGTGTTTTTCTCCAATCATTCATATAACTACCGATTTCTTGTTTCAATTCGTATAAGACCACCTCTGCTGCTATTAAAAAGATGAGCCTACACTTTGAATGCGGGAAATCTCAACTTTGTAATAAACTTAATTTCTAATCGCTGACTAAATTTCTGCGACCATAAATAATATATTCAATCTGAACTGAGATCGTTGTCGTCTTCACTTTCATATTTGAAGATGGTTTAAATCACTTATTAATCTTAGTAGAATAGACTGAAACGAATAAGATGTAGTTCAGAAATATGTAAATATTTCGATCACAGCTAAAACATTGGAAGAATTACTAAGAAAACTATTGTCATTAGGATAGTTCATACCAAATCATAAGGTGACATTATCTGTACTCGTTAATACAAAAAGGAACATTAAAATCTAGCTAATCTGATTATGATAGACATTTTTAGGTCTTTTTTCTCTCTGAAGTATCAGTTTCAATAAACATATGTGTGCATTCGTACAATCGTCAGAGCAGTGTCCGTTAACATGACTTTGAAGGATTACATGTAAACTTTTCTTCAACAACAAATTTGATTGAATGCGAAAAATGATTAGTTTATTTAATTCTTAGCTTTTCAGTGATAGATAAAATAATATATATCTAACATCATTTCAAATAAATATACACAAACAGACACATAGTAAAAAAAAGGACTAAATTTACAAGAGATATTGTATTATTTTATTAACACACTACCGTTTCTTCGGCCAGTTGTTCCACCGTCTACAAAGCAAAAGATATATGATTTTAGATTTAATAAATAATCAAGTAAATATTTACTCTCAATGGAACAGGCGTTCGTTTTGACAATCTATTAGATTTACGTCTACCAATAACATTATGAGCTGTTTTAATATTACTACCATTTCGATTTTCTACAATATCAAATGACGAATTAGGAGTTGATGTCATCACCTATAAGAAAAATAAAATTTTGATTAAAAACTGTTTTTAGTCGTCATCATTATTCATACCTTGATTTGCCCATGGACATTTTTCATTGTATGTAAAAGTGAAAAATCAAGAGCTTGATCATCAGTACGTGCAGGTGGATGAACAGGTAATACAATAGCTGGTCTTGGCGGTGATGTGTGTGACAATGGAGGAGCGCGCGGTTTGGCTCGTTTTGGTTGACATTCAGTCTTACTAGCTACTTTATTCAATAGTTTTCTTCCATTGATAGTTGATGGTGTCTTGGCAGGACGACGTGCAGTAGTGGCAAGATTTGATTCTTTATTGACTACTCGACGAGGCTAAATAGGCAAAAGTATAGTCATATCAAAATATGAAATCGATAGGTCACATACTGTAGCAGCGGGTGTTCGAGATCGAACAGGTGTCAACGCTGAACTATGATGTGACACTGCTATAGTTGCTGCTGTTTTTGCAGCTATCGTTGATGGCAAAGCGGATGCTGGCACTTGCAGATGAGCTTCATCAAATTTTTGTCGAATAGGTATGTTATCAATTAAAAATGATGGGTCATTATGTTCAGATAGAACATTTAAAAATTGTTGTTCAACTTGTGGTAATTCTCGAAGGAATTTTTTACGTTTACGACCTTCAACATCAGCATTATATCCACGTATATGAAAACGGCCAGGATCGGTTGACGCTTTCTGAATTCAAAAAAAATAAAACTAGTAAATAGCTATTAATAAATATGACTACAATACAGTGAAAGCAACAAAATCCTGCCAAAATGAAAGCCATTTTTCATAAGCATCGAGAATTGGTTTACGTTTTTCATAGAATTGACTAATACGTTCATATTCAGCATCGTACGCATCAAGGATATCCGGAGTTAAAGTTTCTATTCAAGTAAAAAGTAAAATATAAAACAAGAAATATTTTCATCCTACCAAAATCAAGTTTATTAAGTATAGTTCGTTCATCATTTCCTAGATGTGCTTTTTCTAATAAGCTAAGGATTTGTTGACGAATTGAGTTTCGATATTCTTTTCCATTTTTCATTCGTTCTTCACGACAACATACTATTTCATGTTCAAGCTACAATAAATATGAAATGTTGCTTTCTAATCGTAATTAAATTTCGTTGATTTTACTTGTTTGATAGCAAATTTATTGATATTATCACTACCATGTTTAAAGATTAATAGATAATCTTTTTCCGGATCTTTACCTAAACGTTCATAGAGATGTCCCAGTTGATTATGTAGTGCAAAGAAACAAGTTTTTTGTGCTTCTATTTGACTTTCCAACTACAACAAAACAAATATGATATACTGTATCTTGAAGAAAGATGAAGAAATCTCACATTGTGTATTGTATTTTCAATTTCATTGAGACAATCAGCAGTAAGACAACGATCAAATTTTTCGAAAAGAAGATATTCAACTGTTGATGATGACGGTGGTGCCCATTCTAATTGTTCAGAATATTCTTTTAATTTTAGATAATATGTAGAAACTTGAGTGCGACGAAGATCCTATAATGCAAATAAGTTTTAATAGATATTTTAATGAATTAAATTCATTTTTTCTTTACACACTTTTAAATCACTAAGCATTTTAATATGATCTTCAATTTTTTTATTAATTTCAGCAAGAGACATAGTAATATCTGAAAATAAGATTTTTCGTTTAATTAAATAAATATATCAAAATAACAATTAGACCGACTTTCATCGAATTCAATGGGTGAACTATGAAGTAATGCACATAATTGCTTTTGTTTATTTTCAAGTTCACTTCGTTGTTGAATTAATTGGCCTTCACTAATTAATAATTCTTGCATTTTCTTATCAATATAAATTTCTTGTTCTTTCAATTTTAATTTATCAAATATAGATTTCTAAACAGTCAAATCATAATTACAAAAAACAAATGTGAACAAAGCAAGAATTAAATATATACATCAATCGCAGATGAAAGGCCAGTACGTGACATTAAATCTTCGTAATCATCGATGGATTGTTTTAATAATTTATTTCGTTTATTTAATTGTTCTTTATAGGTTAATAGTTTATTTTCAAGTAATTTCTAAGAAACGATAATTATATTAAATATAAAAATCAATTTTATTTTAAATCTTACACGTGTATATTCCTCAACTTTTGCTGCACGAGATGTCCATTGATGTTCACTAAAACCAAATGCAGTCCATAAACGGTACCATTCAGCACATACTGTAGCATGGTCTAGTACGGTAAAATCGTCTTTATTCATATCTGAATATGACTCCCTAGAAGAAGAAAAAAACCTGAGAATAAGATAATAAATCAACGAGAAAAACACATACGAGCGAGATTTTGGAGTTCGATGAACAGATTTTTTTCGTGTTTGCGGCATTTTCCTGAAAAGTTAAAAGTGAAATCGAAAATAAATCAAACAAAAAAAAGTCAAGCAATCGATGATCGTTAGCGGTCTTTATCTTAATCAGCCAATAATAATCGCTCTAAAAGTTGACACTTAGTTATATACGACATCTATACATAAAATATCGAACCAGTTTATAGTTTGAGCTTTTTTCTCAATTTGCTCATTATTGTCTCATATGCAAGATTGTACTGAAGCCTTCCATTTCGGAGAAAGTATAAAAGAAATGTATCCATCAAGATACCGTGCGTTTCAAGTAGAAACTTTTTGAGAGAGTACGCTCTGTTTCTCAATGAACAACATAATTCTATCGGTAAAAAGCGAAAATGATCTGAAAATGTATGTGTGTGTATACCTGTAATACAGTAATCACCATATTTCTTAATCAACTGAATACCTATTGTTTTGAAGGTTACAAAATCTGAGAAATCAATAAAGGAAAGGTATCAAGATTGATCACATATATTATCTGCTGAAAAATTTCTTCTAAACCGTTGTCATCTATTTTGTTGTCTTATCTTAATTTACTCAATATAGAGTTTTTTTTTATTGAAAACTATGTTTGTAATTCATTTTAAAAAATCTACTGAAAAGGAAGAATTTAGAAAACAAATGTCTAATCATTTAATGCAGTTGACTATTCAAATAGTATCGAATCTGTTCAGATTTAAATAGAACTTTCTGATAAACTTATCAATCGTTCTATGTGTTTGATAAATAATGTTTGCTGGAATTGTCAAGTCGTTAGCGAATAGAATTACTGTTATTGGATCTAAATGAATTGTATACTCCAGTCATTAATCTCAATATTTTACATTTACATTTTGAATTATTTGAAATATGAATATAAGAAACAATTGAAATTGAACTATTTTTATCCTTGCCCGTAAAGAAATGACATTTAGATGAATAGAATTAATCTGTTCTACTTACGATTTCTATTATAAGACAGATAATCAAAAGTGGTAGTAAGCAACTATTAGTGTTAATGGCTTATGAAAGGTCCTTTGTATAGACAGAGAAATCTATCGTTTACGAGCGATGGGTAACAAATGAGATTCGTTGATTCCTTAAGATTTACTGCATGATAAATAACACACAACATAACGATTACACATCAATATGGTTATTCTCTTTCTCTACAATAGATATATCGATAAAATTTTTAGATACTGATTTTAGTCTTGTCATAAAATTTTCGAAGAAATTAAATTCGAATAATCTCGTGAAATGGACCTATTTCTCGTGTTTTTTAAAAATTTTTAGGGCTTCATAAAAAAAAAACTGTATCTTTTCTAGCTAATAGAGGCTCAGTAAATGGTGTATCATTGTTTTTCTAAGCTATAGAAAATATTATGATATATTTTACACACTAAATTTATTTTTAACAACTATGAGTTTCGAAACATTGAAGTATTTGAAGAAAATTTTTGTTAAAATTTATTCTAACTAAGAAATCAAATTGATGAAAACTTTAAACTAGAGAAAATGTTTGAGTATTGATCCTTTTTAAAAATAGAAGAATTCAAATGATTATTACCAATATTCATTACATGACTTTTCGAAATAATTCCTAGACACTGCTCACATCAAGGATATACACTTGAACAAATTATTTGCAACTTTTTCTCTAGGATCTTTATTGGATCAGCTGTTTAAAATCCTGATTGTAAAACGTGTCCGGCGACAAGTACTTTTTCACTGTTGAAGATTTCAGTTTTAATTCATACCTTTTCTGTAATGGTAGCATAAGCGAATTATTATTATGCATTCGGAAAAATACACATTTGACAAATCGAATAAAATATGGTCTTTTCTTTGAAAGAGAAAAGTGATCATATTTGCTCGTTGTATTGTGCAATTACTAGCTAACTAATGTTTCGAATTTTTACAAAACAAATATAATCAACATAAAGATTTTTTCAATGATCAACTTCAAAAGACTTCACAGTTTGTGTGAGTTAATCAACACGGCGACACATACAAATAAGTATTGATCATTGAAAACAAACATTGTTTTTTTGTCATATTAGTAACTGGTTCTTGGAATGATTGCTCATCATATACGCTTACATTATGTTGACATATCATTTTGTGACTGGAATAACGAATTTTACAAAATGAAATTTCAATTATGGAAATAGGACTGCCTCTATTCTTGATGTATCCTCTCTAACTAATTTATCATTGAAGTTATTCAATATACCACAACCAAGATTATTGATTATCGACTTCATAGATTCATATACCCATAAAAAATAAGTCATAATAAAGGTTTGACTATTTTTACTTTATTTATCATTTATCAGTATATGAGTCTATGCAGTCGATAGCTCTACGTATGTGAATTTTGATTGATATTTCTATTTGTAAACTAATTAGTTTTTTTTTCACATCATTCCTTGCTTTTTTTTTAATTATATATTAAAAATTGAGTGTGAGAAATATATCACAACTACATGAAGAGCAAACAATCGAGAAAAAAAACAGAGTTTACACAAGCAGAAAAAAACCAGCACTAAATTGGGTGAAGAAGTTGAGAGAGAGAAAACTAATGTTTGATTTATTACGATTGCAAGATCAAAGATTAATAGCTATTAAATGAATATTATTAATCAACAGTGTTTGCAATGCGACCCAATTCGCTGTCTAGATAACAGAAGAAAATTTTCGTTGGCGTGAGAAAAGTAACTACAAACCATATAGATTGGGCGATTCAGGTTCAACGGTAGCTGGTGCATTCAAATCAGAGGTTGTTCCGAGATCGGATTCTGTTTTCGATGCATCATGTCCATTTATCGCTGTATCTGATGACGTGGGAACATCTGTAGTTGATAATACTAAATAAATTCAAGTTCTAATGGAAATTTTTATTTTAGATAAATGCAAACCTGTAGCATGAGTAGATGGATTATCTTCGACAGGAAGAGTCGCTGAGCTAACTGTTGTTAGAGCAGACGAAGATGTTGAATCTATTGTTCCAGGTTTTGATAGTTTTTTAATGGCTGCTTGTAAATCTGTTCGTTCTAGTTGTAAAGCTCGACTCAGTTTATCAAGTTTATCTAGTTTAATCTCTAATTGTCGTTTTTCTTTTTCCAAAAGTTTATACTTTAAAAGAAGAGAAAAAGTAGATATTAACGTAAAATTTCTGATAAAAATTCGCATACATCTTCCATTGATTTTCTTTGATTTTGTTCAGCAATTTCCCATCGATGTCGAAAATCATTTCGTTCTTTTTCTAATTTTTTAATTCTTTTCCCCATTTTTTCTATTTCCGAATGACATGATGTAACCATTTGACTACTTTGTTGAATAGCATTTTGAAATTCTTGATAACGTTCCGAATACATTTGTACTTGAGACCGAAGACTTAATTCAGATGAAGCTAATTCTTCGCATTTCTTATATAAAACTAAACGTTCGGCTTCACTCTTTGATTGAAAAAATAAGATAAATAGGATTTTTTTAAATTAAAATTTTTAGTCTCATTGTTAACTTACGACTTGTCGTTCTTGTTTAATTAATTCAGTTCGTTCTTCAAGGAGAGTATGACTTTGTTCTAAACTGGCTTCAGTTAAACGTAATTCAAGTTCTCTTTTCTTTAGCGCTGCTTCAACTTCCTAAAGTTTTTATGTTCAAATTAATTTTCTGATATAAAAATTTTCAAAAATCAAGATATTACCTTTTCACGTAATTCATATCTTTTAACTACATTTGTTAATTCTTCAGATAATTGAAGATTTTGTTCGCGTAATGATGTTGATTTCTCACTATAATTAGATAATTGTGACGCAATTTCATCAATAGTTGTCTGAAATGAAACAAAAGAAAAAAAATTAAAATGATAAAATAAAAAAGAGCTAAAAACCTGAAATTTTGTTGCTAATTCTCGACGTTTTGTTTCTTCGTCACGTTGTCGTTGAGAACTTTCATCCTAAAAGTAAAACGAATATTAAAGAAAAATACATTTTTATCAAGCTAACGTACACGTATTTGTTGACTATGTCGATGAAGTTCACGGCAGAGACTTTCTAACTTGGCTTTTGCTGCCACAATACGACCATTCTCAAGCAAAACTTGGTCACGTTCACGCATTAACGTTGTGAATCGTTTTTCGGATTCATTCGCTTTTGTTTGTGTTAATCGTTGCTGTTCTTGTAATTCAGCAATTTTTGTTGCTAATGTTAGCAGATTTTTTTGTGGATCTGAATCAGTCAAACCCTTTACAATATTTTCTGAAATATGAAAAAAAAATTACAAGAATAAAAAAAGATAGAAATAAATATAACATACTAGCCGCTTTAGTGATGATACGACGTGATTCAGATTCATTGTTAGTCGTTGAAGCTGTAGTACTACTTGCTGCTGTTGTTATGCTTGGTGTTTTACCATTAGTTGGTTTATTTTCTTTTGAAGTAGCAGCTAGAGATGGAGAGGAACAGTTCAGAAAAATGAATTTACATTATGAAGAAAATACCTAATGTTTCTAATTTTTTCACAAGTTTAGCACCAATAGCTGTTTGTCCTGATGTACGAGTTGTAGTTGTTGATGATTTTGATTGGGATTCATCAGTAGCTGTATCTTCACATGACGTTGAAAGATTTATCGAGTCAATAATTTGTGCAAGCATATCATCAGATGATATTTGATTTGAGTCAAATGCAAGATTTTCATCATTATTAACATCATTCGTTGTTTCAGATTCCATATTTGTTTCTGCTGTAGTCATTTGAAATTATTTCGTAGTGGATACTTTAAAAGATTTGAAAAAAAAACAAGCGATCTAAAATAAAGAAAAATGGAAGATGTAGCCATAACTTAGTGGTTATTAGTTATACAATAGCTTTATTCTGTTCTTTTCTTTCTTATACGTTTGACGATTTGTGCATTTATATGCTTCCTAATATAGAACGGAAGAAAAGTCATGGTTACTTTTTTCTTCGCGTTTTCTATTCTTCCTTCCAACCAGGAATTGTCCAATGTCCAGTAATCTAGGAAGTTTCGTTTGTTGTTGCAGATTGTTTATTTTATTCAATTAAAAGATGTCGCTCAAGCTAAAGCATATCAGTATACTTTGGATTGGCAGCATGAATTTTTATTTTACATAGAGTATTGCGCAAGTAGTACTATAGCAGTAAGATAACTAGTCATTGTCTTGTTATTCAGCGACATCTGTCAGCACAGCATCAGTGTAAGTACTGTTTTGACTGACGCGAGAGTAATCAAATGTATGGGCTTTGATTGTGAGTATCCAGTGTTGTTCATATCAATAGTTTACATATTTTTGCTTGTGAATATACGAATTAAGATTTGGAAAAATATATTAGTTATCCCCAGGTCGATCGTTCCAACCACCAGATACTGTAAGAACCGGTCGCAAAGATGCGAAAAAACCACCGTGTCCCACAGGAAAACATGGGAGGTTGATCGAAATCAACCGAGAAAAAATCTAGAATTTCCGGCTGAAATAGTGCTTTCACCTTCCAGTTATTGTCCGTATTTTTCGACTGTTTCCCGCTGTATCGCCACGATCTGGGATTGTAAGGATCAAATAATAGGTCCACTTTCATTTATTTCCTTATAGTCCTAAATTCAACACCAATCGATAGCTCATATTCAGATCTATCAAATGACATCCAAATAGCCATGCAAAAAGGTGAGGAAATGCGTTATGTTCTGAGAGTATTGCAGAAAATCTCATGTTATTGGTAATTAGTACATACATTGTATTCCAAACGATAAATATCAACGTGATTCATCAAATGAAAATGAAGAACACTTAGATGAGAAAGATAATAGGATGAGCCATTCTTCGATACGAGAAGATGATGATGACCATGAATCTATAACATGTGATGTAGAAAAAAAAAATCACTCCTTACAATTAGTGTATATCATATATGAAAAATTTACTACTTCCGAAGTCAATAGTATTTATATATACTAGTTTTATTTTCAAAAGAAGAAAATCTTCTTACTATTATGATGCAAAGAATGAGCTATGTTCTACTATGCTCTTAAACTTTCTTACAATCACTTCAATGAAAAAGTTTTAAAATGAAGCGCTTATTGTTATTTGTTTTTCGTATCGAATGAAAGAAAAAGTTTATTGATGTTGTTTTAATATATTTCTTTAAATTTATCGATGTGCTTCCACAAAGGTGAAGCGTTCAATGTCCACTGGTTTTAATATTTTTCTACTTTTCATATGTATCTTTTTACGAATACGAACTAATCAAGGCTTTCATCACGATCATCGTTCCCAAAATTTTCGAAAATATCGTCATATTCCTATACATGATGCTACTCATCTCAATGCATCATTGGCATCATCAACAATAATCGAACCAATTCAATTCTTCCAAAATGAGCCTGTGCCACTAGCTGCATCAGTCGTAGATGATTTGACGACTCTAGCATCAGCCATTTATATTATTTGTCTTATAGTTCTTATTTTAATTATTCTTGCTTGGATAACTCATTACAATGCGCCATGTTCATCAGTTATCACATCTATACTAAGTACTATTACTGGTTTGCCTGAACCAATTATACATTCAGTCGCTCTCTGTGGTTCATGTTGTCTATGGTGTGAAAGAACATGGCTATTTCGCCGTATCCATCAGTTTAATATATGGATATCGTCTAAGATTCAACAGTTCATATCAGGTACATGCAAAGTCTTATATGACACTATTTGTCCTTGTTGTCGACCACCCGATACACCATCCAATCGATCTATCATTGGTAAAATTAAAATTAAAAATATATATATTGAAACTATTGAATTTCTATTTTCAAAGGTTCATTACCGGCTAGTATGATTGCTAAAATCTCGGTACCGGATACTTCTAAACCATCACCATCAAAAACTATTGTGACGGGTGAAACTCAATTCGATTATTTCATATTTGAATAAGTTGTTTTTCTTTCTTTTTAGTATTAGAACCAACCTCTTTATCTCCAAGACGTTTAACTCTTAATGTTGGCTTATATTCTCAACCAAAAGCTGAATCGTTGATAGAAAATCAAGATTATTTATCATCTGAAGTAACAAACGTCGAGACGAAAACAAATACGAATCAAACATATGAAAATAGATCAACAAATAAAAAGCGTCGTAGATATCCACGTAGAAAAACTCAATTAAAGCAACGAGCAGCGATCGATGAATCACCAATTATAGATGAACAACTCGTTCATACCAGTGAAGATGACGAGTCCGATGAAGAAGAAGAAGTCGAAGATGAAAATACTAAAATTTATTGAAAAATTTCTTTAGCTTCTTTACGTTCTTGCCATACAGTAGCACCGGAACAAGTACAAAGACGTTTCGTATTCTCAAAAATACCAGCAGATCGAGCAATAATACCACATGCAAGACGTCTAACATTGAAAATAAATTTTATTAGAAAGTAATAAATATGAATTGAACTTACTGAGAATCAGAATTCTGTACAACAAATGATCGTCCAATAATATCTGGTACTTGAATATAACGATTGAGTAGACGAAAATCGGCAGTGCCTGTTTCATCAGTCACTACATGGCCAAGTATACCGGTCGGTTCACTAGGGCTTTTTTGAAATGTCGAAGAACTTGAATTGTAATAATCACCGCAACTATACAAAAAATGAATAGTGAATATATTCATCATTTTATCTATCACCTTTGCTTGATACCTTTCACATCCATCAGAAAGATCGCCATATTCATGTATATTGATACGAGCTGAACTATTTGGTGGAAGTCCATCAACAGTTCCTTCAATAATGCACTGTTCATCATCGGTTTGAATAAATCTAACTAAACCATGAACACGACGTTCCAACGGTCGATTCATATTACTATAGAGTGCTGAAACAGCTGCACCTAATGATTTCCCTATAAATCAAACAAAATTAGTAGAGAAAAACATATTCTATTGATTAATAAAATAAGTCAAAACTATTATCTCACCAGTTCCAAATAGTATAGCATTAGTATCAAGTGAATCTTCAATTAATTTCTGAATTTTCGATGATTGTAATGTTGTATTCAAAACTATTCGTTTTGATGATAGATCAATATTGACATTTTCGATTTCTAAAATAAATTTATTCAACGTTTTCATCACACGTAATTTTTCTTGCTTTTTAAAATATACCTTTTTGATCAGATAACAATTTTTGTATTCGATCAACTTGTTCTTGTTGATTGATATCAACAAGAAATTCAAGCTAGATAAGCAAAAGAAAAACACATACATGACTGTCTTTTGAAAAAATGGTTCACTTGAAATTCGTCACCTTCGTACTAACGGATGTTGCTGTCTCAGTCATTTCTATTCTACAATAGCACAAGAGATATGTATTATTTTGTGTAGTATAATTAATCAACCCTATATTAAATATCAACAAAGAGAACAACGATATTATATTAGTGTCGTAACCAGATGGGTACTAGAGAAACTTAACTTCTGCACTCTTGTCTACCCAACGAGCGAGTTTTACTTAAGAAAAAGGGCTTGATTGTTCTTTCTAAACGTGTAATAAGTGATTCTTAACCATCATTAAAAACATGGTTAGAGATTAAGATTCCTTAATACCCTAAATAGTTGTCTAGTTACGGCACTAAATTGTGCAAAACAAACGAAGTTGATGATACATGAGAAGAACTAGCTATCATTGAATATTATACAAAGCAAATATGATAATGATTACAATAATATATACAAAAAGAAAACAAAGAACGAAGTTGTAAATTCATTTTGTTCATTTATTTATTGGTGTTGTTGATGTTGATGGTTGTCGTCGTGCTGTACGTTGTTTTTCAAAACGATTTTCCATTTCGATTAACACTTGTGGTGAATATCGTACAACTAGTTTTACACTAATTTGTGCTTGTTTTAACAATTCAACTGCCTTTTCATGATATTCATTTTCAACAGATACACCATCAACGGACAATAATTGATCACCTTTTTTCAATCCACCATGTTTCCAAGCAACACCATTTGGAATGATACGTGATATATAAATCGGTGAGTTTTGTTCACGTCCGCCCATTACATTAAATCCAAGACCTTCGGCAGTTTTAGGTAATTCAATAACACGCGGATGTGAATGTCCTTCGCTAGCTGCAAATGCAGCAACCTAAATTTATACACTAATTATTGATTTAATTCGAGACAAATTCTCTATCTCACAGTTGCTTTAGCAGCAGCATTCGCTCGAATTTCTGTTGAACCGGTTATTGAAACAGTTTCGTAAATTTTTTCATAAACTTCTCTAACAGCGTGAAAAAAGTCACTTCGTAATATTCGTTGTAATTCAAGTAATTTTGTTTCTGGTATTTCACTGGTCGTACGAAGATGATCAAGAAGATCAATCGCTCGTTCAACATCTTTTTCTAGATTAAGTGATGTTTCACCTGTTACAGCAGACATTATCTGAAAACATAATTGAAACAAAACAAACACCACAAAAATAAATATGAATTTTTATTAACCAAATAAAATAAGAAATACAATTGTTATAATATTAAACGCAATAAGTGGCACTAAAAAATAGAAACAAGAAAATAAAATGGAATCGAAATGATGAGAAAATAAATAAATTTTACCTCTCATGACAGTTCGCACAGATCGAATTAAATTCAATAATTGTCGTTTTGTTCCACCAGCATTTTGATAGTCATCAACATAACCACCTGCTCCAGGATAAGGTTGAGGATTTGCTCCACCACCGCTTACTATAATAATAATATAAAAAAAGGATTAATGAATTAATCTTAACAAATTGATTAGTTTACACCGCGAAAGAAATCGTTGTTCGTTAAGAACAGCTACAGCATTGACACAAAGAAGAGCAGCTTCAATTAAACTGTATAATGTAAATCCCATATTATGTCGCTGAATATAATTGTTTTATTTTTTTTAATCTTAAACGAAAGATATGTGATTTTAATCGAAGGAAATTTTAAAAAATTTGTTTTTATTTAAATGTGAACGAATTAGTTTAAATACAATGATGAGTTTGTGTTATCTGTTGCTCTAGAAATTATATTGAAGCGAATAATAGAAATAAAAATCATTCAATAAGAATTAGAAAAAGAAACAAATCAAATATTCTTTTAATGTTTTACGTTTGCTTGCCCATTGACAATTTTATTTTGTGTTGCTGAATTGGGATGTAATGCTTTCTTAACGATTTGTTCATATTTAGTTAAATCGAAATTTCCACTTTCACTTGCTGGAAAACTTCGATGTTTCAATTGTAATAGATGTATATAATCTTGTTCGCTATATTCAGGCCCATGTTCTTCAATAACAGCTATGATTTCATCTGGTTTTGTTGCATATAATAATTCATAATATCGATGTGCACGCATTAGTTCAGCATCGCCAACTGTACGAATTTGTGTTAATGTTTGTTCAATGGCAAATATATTTCGACACATTTTAGTTACACCCGTTTCACTTATGCGTATAAATCGTGGTGCCGAACGAATTAATATTGTTGCTAAAACAAATCCAAGACCTTGAAATAAAAATGAGAATTTTTTTTCATTCAATGATGAATGCAATGTTTCTTGTAAACGTGTTAAATCACGATTTAATGTCATTATATTTTCATCAGGATCTGTATCAATAACTGATGCATAATGAGATGCATTACGAAACAATAATGATAAATGATAAAAACAATGAAGACGTATTTCAAGAAATAGAACAAGTAAAATATCATAAGATAATGTTAACGTTGTTTTCATCGCATTAGAAAATATTTCTAAATTAACCCGAGATAATTTTAATTGTTCATATTGATGATGGTTCTGTTTCAACGATCGTGATGCATAACCAGATGTAACTAAAAATTAATATTAAATATTGATCAATGAGTTTTAGAATTAAAATGGAAACCAAAACTTTTCTTTCTTAAAGTTATAGAGTAGTATTACAATAATTTAGGGATTCTTCGTGTAATTCATAGATTGCCCAGTTTTACTTAGCCAATCGTTATAATTTAGAACTTATTCAAAGTTAGTTTTAATGCAGTTGGAAAGTATAATAATTTCGTAAGCCTGTTAAGTTTTCTTTGTTTACAGCTGAAATTAAATTTTCTGTTAGTGTTCCAGAAAAAAATTCAATATTCTAGTAGTATGCATCATCGTGTAAATTAACGAAGATGGATGTGAAATTCGAGAGAATTCTAAGACGAGCATAGGTCTAAAATAGCACCACACACACCTACTGAACTCAAATCCATTAATTTCTAATTTGATAAGGATGACTAGCCCTCTTGTAAATTATTCAACCTTGATAGATTTCAGACTTCGACAAGACTGAAAACGCCCTCATGATGGAGAAAAATACTTTTCTTTTTTAAGTTAGTATTCCCCAAAGGAATGCGGATTCCCCTATGGAAAAATTATATGAGAGTGTATTTCATTAAACTGATCAGATATTTTTAGTGAGAAAAGCGACAATGCTATTAGAGTTGTAATCAAAACTTAGGCTCATCGCATTTTCATGCGTAGAAGAAAGTCAAATTTTTTTGTATCTCATGAGTTTTCTTTGCTACATACATTCGCTTGCTTGTGAAATCGCTACTTTTACATGGAGTCATGAATAAAAAGATAAGCGGAAGTCGATAGTCTGAAGTGTTGGTCTTCTAAATTCATTGCCGAGATTTAAGCCTCTATAGATTTCAAACGCTAATATAACAATGAAAAACATTTTTTTATTGCGAATTAATTGTTTTAATATAGTAATAAGCGTCAAGCGTACGAATATTTGATTTCACATTATCTGTAAAAAAAAGTAATGTTTATTAAGCTGAAACAGCTATTTGATAACTGAAAATGTGTTAAGTATCACAACTATTCACCAAGCTTTTCATTATTATTAATTTAAAAAGCAAATGTTGGAACATTTTATTAGAATTCTATTTTTCTTGTTCTTTTCGACATGCTACTTTCATTGGAAGAATCATGAAAAAACAATTTACCTCAGAATATTCAAAAGAGACTTTCAAGTCTCAATGAAATAAAATTTACTAAAATATAAAATTTGACGATATTGAAAATAGGAACTTATTTAGAATTCTCTTTCATTATACATTAAACCTTCTACTATACCTGTTGTTTGAGTTAAAGCATCAAGATGTTTTGTATCATTTAAACATTTATCCAATATATCGAAATAATATGATAATTTACAATATAACCAATCAAGACTTTCATGAATATTTGCTAATAATTTAATATGTTTATAAGTTGTACAAATATCATCTAAGTTCATTTCGTTTTGACTAAAATTAATTAATAAAGTTTCAGTTTCTTTTGTTTGGCGAAAACGTATATTATCAGCATTATCATCTTGATTATCATTATTTGCCGAATGTTGTTGTTTAGCCATACGTATAAATGCATCGAATGCCGGCATTGTACGTAAATGGCGATTGATATCAGCATCTTTAACCCATTCATTCGAATAAATTGATGTACCAGGAGCATCATTTCGTTCAACAATGGATAAAAATAATTTATTGCAGGATTCACGATGTTTAAATAAAAGATCAATGATGGCTTGACAAAAGTCATCTGCATATGGCGGAAGACATTTCACTAATGCACATAATTCTTCGCAAGATTTAAATATTGAATATGTCGACTGAAGAATTGGAATCGGCAATTGAAGTTGTTTTTGTAAAACAACTGGAACTAATTCCGCAAGACGATTTTGATCGGCTGTTGCCGTAGAAGATGATAATTGAGCTGATTCACGAATATCTTTTATGACACGACCAATAAAACGATCACGAATAAATTCAGTTAATTTTCTAGATAACACAAAAAGTGAAAAATTTATAATCATAGAAAATTCTTCCGAATAGTAGTTGATTTAAAATAGATAATAGGAGCAAAAAAGTATGAAAACTTTCAAGAAAAGCTAGGAATTTCGTCTACAGAGAAGATAAAAATAAAAACAATTCAAGAACATCTAAACCTATTTCACTCGTTTCATTGCTGACTCAGTGTCAGATCAATGATTTATTTTCACGTCGCTGTGTCAAACATACTGATATTATTCTAAAAAAAACAAAATCTATTTAATTTTCCAAGGTCACAATAAACTAGTTAAAAATTAATGGTTAACGTGAAACTCTTCCTTAAAACAAGACAACATCAAAATAAGAGTCATAGTTGCCAATGATTTATCTCATCATTGTGCTTATTGAGCTGCAATACATTCAATAGAGCAACACATATTTTTACAGGTCATGTACACTGTTTATTTTAAATTCCAACTGTATTCTCCTACTAGAATGAAAACACTCAAATCATGATCGAATTCTTCGAAATATAGTTTTGCTTTTTTGATAAAATCATTTATCTCCGTCTAAAGACTGACAAATATCAGCGATACATCACATTTTGAAATAAAAAGCAACTTAGAAACTACTAATATTTTATTGAATTAGTGAAAAAAAGTTTTAGCTCAATTGAATGGCAACTCTATATTTGATTTTCCAAAAAATCGCCTCATTTCTCATTGAAAACTATTCAGCACAGTAATAAAATATTTGGCAGTATTTCCTTTCATTTTAAAAATTATTTGAGTTTATGCACCTGAGAAAACTCGAGAGTGAGATAAACACAAATCTGCTGCATAAGAAAAATTTGTTTCAGAAAAATCGACAGCTAATTACAAATTAAAAACATTAGTATCTACAGTGAATTTTTGTTTGTCAATTGACTTATTTTTTTAAATTCAATGTTTTTCGGTAGTGTCACCAAATAAGACTGAAAATTTCATACGATTTGAACACAACTGACTCCAAATCAACTTTTTAGGATCGGGACAATGATTATTATCAGTCTATTCGAAACTCAATCTCTCTACTTGACCAACTAGCAATGTGAATTTCTTTGTTCTAACCTGTCAAGTATACGTTTACTTGGATGTAATTTAAAGCTCGCATCAATATCTTCGATAATTCGTTGAAGAATATCATGCACAGCTGTAATATTACGATAATTTGGTTTGCACACATATTGTTTATAAGATGTAGCAGCGGTTGCTGTTGTCGTTTCTTGCTTAATAACGAATCGATTCTGTTCTTGTAAGTAAGATGTCATTGAATTGAATTGTGCTGATTGAGAAAACTCAAATAGACGTGGAATTTGTTGTGAGCGCGGTGGTGCTTTTTTTGTTAAATATTGTGAAAAATCAACAACTGAATGACGATTTGAATAATCTGTTGAACTTGATACTAATGAAGAATTTGGTGACGATCCATCGATTGTATTATTATATTCGATGTACTCATTTAATACTTCGCTAAGAACTTGTTGAAGAGTTTCCCAAGCAAGTTCAATAGAAAATAAATATGGAATTTCAAATTGTATTGGAACTGGTATTGCTTGTTTTTGCTCAGATTT